TGAAATATAAAGTAGACTACACTGCACTAATATACAATAAATCCATTCTATCCTTTTACTCACTTGCAACTATTTGGCTCTAACTGTTCAATACTATTTGACAGATTACAGAAAGTAACTCTGTCCTTCAAATTTGCCCTTATATACTTTTGAATAAAATAAAGCAGTTGACACCAGATCGAGGAGTCAAGGCTATTTTATTCACCCATTCACTCATAATGGTTGGTAAGATTTCTTTTTTATATGGGTTGCTGTAAATGTAAAGATTTCAAATAAATTCTTTGCAATTTAAATGTTTGTGTCATTTTTTAAAATTTTACTGCTCTGGAAATGCACTGGATATGAAACTCTGGAACTAAACAACTCCAAAGGAGGTTTTGTGGACAAATTCATGGGTCTGATGTGAACATGCTTAAGAGGTCACATTCTCTATTGATGTTCTCTGGCCATGTCTAGGTACTATTCACAATTTGGAGCTGCGGAATTTTGGATATAACTTGAATTAGGCATGCTTCAAAACCCAATTGAAACTGTTAGAGTGAACGCATGACCTGTTAGGTATTTAATTATTAGTATTACACTGTGCCAAATAGCTTTCCTTTACTGATTTTATTTAAAATTACAAAAAGTCTTTCTCCTCAAGTTGCCTCCATTTCCAGTCTCTCCACATTCCATAATGATGCTGTTTTGTAATGCTCAATAAGACCCATCCATCACTATCTACTTGCTTTAAGATACTTGCCACATCAGTTCTGTGGTCTCCCTGGTCCAAAATTCCAAGGCTCTATCCCACTTGTAATGAAAAATATTTGTCTCAACCTACCCATCCTTAGCTGCCTCCATTAATCAAAATTAACCTTTTTTTCTGTTGTCATCACTGCATGGTAACACCCTCTTGGAACATTTATCCCTTTCTCCTTCCTTAGTTTGAAAAGATATTGCTCAGTGATGGCATTAAGGCCTTGGAATACCTTCCTTCCTTCCTTCTTTCAAATAGAGAATCTGTAGGGTTGGAATCTGTGAAGAAAATCAGTCTCCATTAGAAAAGAAACTTTAATGACACTCACCTGATGAAAGACTGTCTTTACCAAATTGGTATTAAAATGCACATTTGGCCTACTTTCATTGGGTTGGTTGGACTTCTTTGCTAATGAAGTACCACTAACCTTGAGTATCAGTATGTTAATGATAATATGCTATGAATTAACTCAAAGGACAATAAAAACAACCTCATCCTTCTGTTAACCCAACAAACAAATTTAGCAATCAAAGAAGGAACATCAATCATTAGATGTATTTATAATAATTTCCCTTAAAATTTATTGCAGACATAAGGCACTAAAAAACATCCAAAACTGGTCATCAAAGGACACATAAAACAAAAGCAATAGTAATTATAATTGTAATAATAGTAATAATAATAATATTCCCCTAAACTACTTGGCATGTTACAAGAACATCTCTGCATAGTATAAAATAATAATAATAATAATATTCCCCTAAACTACTTAGCATGTAACAAGAACATCTATGCATAGTTTTAATTAATAATAATAATAATAATAATAATAATAATAATAATAATAATAATAAAGTAAGAGAAAACCTAAACAGAAGAAAACTATAAATCACTCACAAATTCTGCATACCTCATAAGAAGCATCTTTGGGAGGCTTGAGGAGCTCAAACAGGACAAAATCTTCATCATCTGGTTCACTGGCTATAAAAAAGCACACAATGCTTTCATTAGCAAATAACAAAAAACAAACAAGGTTTATAGAGATCAATAATTATGGAACAATGTAGCAAAAAACTCATCTTACAAAAACAAAGAGACAAAGAGTGAAAATGGTCAACATAATTATTAACTACCTTGAATATTGTTTTCATTTGACAGCTGTGTCTTTGTCCAGTAGTTGAATGTCTAATGGTGAAAGAGGGGGGAGAACAAATAAATCATCATTAATATCGTCATAATCCTCCTCAAAATCTCCTGATTCATACTCACCAGGAAAAGCAACACCAAAACCAGCAGAAACCTCTTCCATGGTTTTTCCAGTACTAAATGGACTCACTCCTGTTTTGCATTTCTTGATTCCATCTTCACCTATTCTTGCACTGCTGTCTTCACCAGCATAATGCACAAAACAGTATCTGCCAGTTTTTCATCAACATATTTCTGGCATCCATTGAAGCTACAATCTGCTAAACAAAATATAGTATTTGTAAATAAGTACTAGCTATCTATGATTGCTACCTTTAACATACACTCATTGATTAACCCTTTATACCCTAACATCAGTAGGCATATTCTCCGTACCATTCTCTATACATTTCCTGAACTGTTGACAAGGAGAATTTGTTTAAAAATCAAGAGCTTTATAAGTTGTTGGTCATTTCCTTGATTCATGTGGGATGTGGGGTGATATCAGGGGTGATTTTGTAATGAGAAATTAGAGGCTGGCCACTCTTAGGGTTAAAGGGTTAAGATTTTTTCTTTCATTAATGTATTGCAAACTGTACATAACTAGTAAAGCAGATCCTATTTAATGGTTCAGAGATGACCTTTCTACAAGTAACTGGAGTTGAGGCAATGGAAGATATTATTGCATGCTCAGTGTATTGTAGCATAGTATTTAAAAGTTTCCTGTTTCTGAATTCCAGCAGTGGATAACTCTTGTATTCCAGCACTGTTATTTTCCAGCCCCTCTCAGCTGTTCTCAGTTTCTCAGCAGGAGTTAACTGTTGTATTCCAGTACTGTTAATTTCCAGCCCTACACAGCTGTTCTGAGATTACCAGCAAGGAATAAATATTCTTTTACAGTACTTACTTGTATTTTCCAGCCCCTGCAAGCTGTTCTGTCATTTTTGTTTTCCAGCTGGAGGTAACTGTTATTTCTAAGCACAATTATTTTCTGGCCTCTCTAGGCTGATTGGAGTTTTCCTGCTCAAGTTGACTGTTATTTTCTGTAAAACAGAATAATATACATAAGGACCCAGGCATGAAGTGAAGAAACCTTCCTTGGAAACCTTGGAAACAAGACAATGTTTTTAATTGCTCAGATCAAAACCAAAAAATTTTATTGTTTGTTAAAAACAATGTTATATAATGTTAAATGTTACATAATGTTAAAAATATCAAGGCCAACAGTAATTCTGAACACAAAATTTAATAAATTTGACACCTGTGGAGTATATAGCATTGCTTATGAATGAGACAAGAATGTGCTTTTAAATTTCCATCATACCTGAATAATGTCTGTGTAAAATTTGAGCTCAAATGTAGTATTTTTAACTTATAAATCTACTCCTAGTAAGTGGCCCTGGCAACCTATCTTTACATGTAACTGCCAATAAAATAACCCTCCATCTTCATAAAGATCTAAGTAAGCTTTTAAGGCCTTCCTGTCATTTTTTTAAAGCATGGCCTCACAAACTTTTTCTTTTGGCTCCACCAATAAAAAACATTTAGGGAAAGTCAAATAATCAACAACCACAACGGTAACCAGTCAATTCACCGACGGACCAACTCGCCGACGCCAACTCGCCGACGTATAAAATCGAGTAGAGACGTCGGCGAGTTGGTCGTCAATCCAGTACAACTTATTAGAAGTTAAACATACAGAAAAGTAAACGATATTTAGTAAAAAAAACCCTGGTGAACATTGGTGAACATCTAACAGAAGCTTAAACATTGGTGAACATCACCAATGACTATAACAGCTTAAGACGCGAACGAGTTATTGTGCGACAACAACACCGTAAAGACTCATCATGACAATCGGTCAGATTTTTTAAGAAAACTTGGCTTTCTAGATAAGATCTTTAGTAAAAAGCAATTCTTTTTATTTGTAACAAAGTTTATAAGGATCTCCAGGCGAATAAAGTAAAGTAAACATCGCCAATGAATACATCCGCTTTTATTGTGTGAAACAACACCGTAAAGACTCATCATGTTAATCGCTCATTTTTTAACGAAAACTTGGCTTTCTAACAAGATCTTTAGTAAAAAGCAATTCTTTTTATTTGTAACACTCCAGGCGAATAAAGTAAAGTAACCATCTTGACTACATCCGCTTCAGAGAGTTACCTCATCATGTTAATCGCTCAGATTTTTTAACGAAAACTTGGCTTTCTAGACAAGATCTTTAGTAAAAAGCAATTCTTTATATTTGCAACAAAGTTTATAAGGATCTCAAGGCGAATATAGCGACGTTAACATCGCCAATGAACAAAATTGGCTGTAGACGCCAATGAGTTGTGTGAGTCATTGGTGATGTTTACTTCGCTTTATTCGCCTTGAGATCCTTATAAACTTTGTTGTAAATAAAAAGAAATGCTTTTTACTAAAGATCTCGACTAGAAAGCCAAGTTTTCGTTAAAAAATCTGAGCGATTGACATGATGAGTCTTTACGGTGTTGTTGTCGCACAATAACTCGTTCGCGTCTGAAGCTGTTATAGTCATTGGTGATGTTCACCAATGTTCACCAATGTTTAAGCTTCTGTTAGATGTTCACAAATGTTCACCAGTGTTTTTTTTAATAAATATAGTTTACTTTTCTGTATGTTTAACTTCTAATAAGTTGTATTGGATTGACAGTTTATAAGTTGCTAGTACTTAAATACTAAGTTAGCAATTGACTGAGACACCATTAGCACCACAATAAAAAATGCAAGAACCCTCAAATGGCTGAAACTTGCATCATTCAGTTGCATACTATTCTTCCCACATTTCCTAATAAATTAACCTATATTTAGTGGATACCTCTGTAACACAGACACTAGGGAAGGTTCTTAGAGAGGTTACCTTTAATACTTTTATAACTATAAAAGTAATAGCTTTTGCTGCAGTTTAAATTGATTTAATTTTTAAGATACAGTTAACTAATTCTTCACTTATCACACAACAGCTGTGCAAAGCATATCAATTGTAAATAACAAATGTGGAGAGTTACAAATTACTTTCAGTACTTCATAGTGCAAGCAATGTGTTCCTTACCATCATTTTTCAGTGTTTTCTTTCCATTTACAGACTCAAGTGGCTGTAATGAAAAAACAAATTCAAACAATTTTACCTCACTTCCTAAAGCAAGAAATCACAAGAATAAACAAGTGTAGAAACTTAGACATACTTAGGCTAGAACCCTAATTCAAAAATAAAAAAACTACCCCCTGCAAAAAAAAATGTACCACTGTCTTTGGTACCATCCTGTTCCTCCCCTATTTCCGTTTTTTTTTTTTCAACTTTTCTTTTCTATCAACTTTCAAACACATACCATGCTTCTTCTTGATGGGAAGAGGTTCCATAAAAAACCCAAATAACCAGAAAGATTACCAGCAAGATAGATAACCAAATGGATAACCAAATGAGTAGTGGTATCAAACTAAAGCTTGTAGCAATTCACCGACCTGACTATTACACCCTATTCTTTTTCCCCAGGTCTATGTGAACTAGATTTTGAGCACAGAATGTAATACCTCACCAAACATCTGCTAGGATGACTCACTTAAAAGTGTGCATGATTATCATCTCTTGCTGAGATAGCACACTGCACTTCAATGTTTTTATTACTACACATATAGGGGCTTTGGTAAGATTGTGGAAAGGAGGGAAAACATTTGAGCAGCTGGGAGGGACAAAAATGACAGTGTGGCAGCCATTTATTCCCACTTGGATAGCAAAGTCTGGGGAACCTTTCCCTGGAAATTTAAAAGTTTGGATGTCCATTTTAGGCCACTATTTCTCAAGTTGGCTAAAAATTATATCTGCTACAAGAGAGAGTGAGGGAGAGTGTTGACACTGATTTAATGAATAGAGTAGCTTTTACATAACAAACTATATAAACATTATATACATAGTAATGTTGTCTCATAGATGATGTCTGTGTGGTCTTGTTTGATTTTTACCTTTGCCTTGCTCAAAAATATGAAATTGTGCCCTGGACAACATTAAATTTGGGGAACAGTGCTGTGATTTCTGACACAGTATATTTAAAGCAATTACTGATGGCAAAGGAATTAATTGGTACTTCAATGATGAATGTAGAGCACAGCAATCAATGTAAACCATCATACCAAAAAACATGGTGACTGGTACATTCACCTAGAACTCTTTGCACAAGAAAATCCTGGAACCACTCAAAAAGTCAAGCAGAAAAAATTGGAAAAATTTAAAATTTGCATACATAATGTTGTTGTTTTGCGAAATATTGCTTTCTACATGTGTCTTACCCTAAGAATAAAGGTAAAATTTACAGGCACCATCTATGTCTGTAAGTGGATTGAATCTATTGGGTAAACACCAGAAAAAATAATAATATTGATACAAATAGGCTGAGGGTTTAGTATAGGTATGCTGTGGTTTAGTTTTATCCTTAGTTTATTCTTTTACTTTTAAAAGAGGCCAAATTGATAGTGACATATCATCTCACCATAACTTAGGCTAGGAGCTAAATTTTATCTTTCTCTACACAAAATGCATTTTTCATTCATATCATTAACAAAACCAAAGGAAACTGATTTTTACACCAAGGACAAGCACAACAGATACCTTTCATCTGCACTTTTGTTTACTTTGCTTTGCTGCTGGTTCTCATCCATGCCTGTATGAATGATATTAAGTAAGGGTGAAAGGATTGGTATTTTCTTCACAAAGATAGTTGCAGAGAGTGTCTCCATTGATATATGGATTACCAGACACTCACAATGAACTCCAACAAGACCAAGTTCTTGCTAACAAGTGTAGGAGCAATAATCGCTAATAATGGGCAATAGTCTGTATTGAATTAAGTATTCATTTGTGCATGAATTAGTATTTATTTCATTTTAATGTTTTTAACACACAATTGAAAAAGTATGTAAAATGTGGTAACTGTTGTGTCGTCTAGACTCAGTCAAGTTACTCCTTTCATTGCTATTGCTCAACTGAATTTTATTAAAGAATCAACAAGCTATATTCACAATACAATACTAGGAATCAGTAATATTACTTTTACATAGGAATGTAACAAATGTATACATATCATTGTAACGCAATACACTACAGTAACAAAATACATATCATTGGGGTATTCCTCGTGATTTAGTTCAAGGGGCTTTATTCTAAATAGATCAAAAGAAAGAAAGTGGCATATGTCAGCCACTGATTTAAATAGAAAAGCACATATTATTAAGTGATGAGTAATTTTGCTGCAAATTTGTGCCCCTCTGGGTGAGCAAAGAGAATGATGACCCAACTGTTACTTGCTGCAGAGCGTTAGGAGCCAGCACCCTATCCTTTATAAGAGACCAGATCTTCATCATATGTGTAAGCAGTTTGTAAGTTAACTTTCCAGGATATGTGAAGTTTAACATCGACCATACATCCTAGCTGAATTTTTGCGTAGCCCCATACATTTACAATGAATACATGTCTTCCACTGTACCCATAATAGCCACCAGTGTAGACACTATGAGACTGCTACATGCAACATAATACAAATTATTGAGGCTGGAAGAAAATCACAAGTTTTTGATCATTGAAACACCGAGAGCTGTCCTGGTTTTTAATCGACGTGTAATATCTGGTGTTGCATGTCCCAAACAAAATAAAAAAGTCAGTCCTCGACACAGAAGGATTCAATGAATCCAGGTATCATGCAGCTACATGAAATCTACTGGAATTTAGCACAAAACTTGAACGCGATCTTTGAAGAATGGTTGTCATATTTAAAATTTAAAAATACTAGCATGAAGTGCAACGAAAACCTTACCTTATTGTACTAGCTCCAACAGAAAAGTAAGGAAAGCCATGAAGCAATGTCAAATTCTCGTCTTCCTAGGCTTTCCAACGTATGGAAGGAAATTTCCCAAATACCTCGCACTTAAAAACGCAACCAGAATCTTACTCTTTCACCAATCCGAAGCGTCCCAAAAGGTGTGAAGGATAGCCAGTGAAATTCTCAAACTTCGAGCGCGGAAATCTTAACGATCTTTTTACACTTTTGCTTTGCATCCCTCCCCTAGTTGGGAAGTGACACGCAGAAGACACGATCACAACGCACTTTGATTGGAAGAAGTAAAACTGCATTCTATTGGTTATAATGTGTGAGGACATAACCACAACGGAAGACACGACTGCAACGCTACATTTGAAGAGGTCATAGACAGGCCTACACAGACTCCCCTGTGTGGTTTTACGTTTGCGACGCAAAAGCCTTTAATTAAAGCTTCGCTCTGACGAGTATGTCTTTGAGCGATTTACCTCTTTTGTATGATATAATCGGAGGCGTTTTGTAAATTGTTTTCAGCAGTGGCTGATTTTGGATGAGGTTCCATTCTTGCATAAGTATTTGTTTTAAATTTTTTAACCCCTGGGTGGTATGCTGTCACAAAAGGCAATATTTTGCCTTTAGTTTTTTTGGTTTGTTTTTTAAGTGTCGACCGCCTTGCGGCAAACGAGACCTCAGATAACGTTTTTTCAATTAGGCTTTTTGGGTAACCACGTGCTTCAAGTCGTGTTTTGAAATTACACATGGCCTCCTGGAAATTTCTTTCCGAGGAGTTTGTTCTTAGAAGTCTGATAGCGGTATCCGGACAACTCGCCCCTTGGACAATTAGCCCCAGACGACTAGCCCCCAGTCTCTGGACTATTAGCCCCCAACCCACCAACCTTGAAATAAACTATGTTCTTGCCCTTTACTTTTTACGAACGTTTCCCTATCATATATTATGAAATAAACAATGTTCTTGTTATTTGCTTTTTACGAACATTTCTCTGCCATGCGTGTTAAATTATAGAGTAAACTTCGTTCTTGCTGTCTTGTTGTTTGCTTGTTATGAACGTTTCTCTGCCGTGCGTATCGAATTATAAAGTGAACTGTGTTCTTTCGGTTTATATATTCTACAAAAATGAACTGTGTTCTTTCTGTTTACATACTTTACGAATGTTTCTCCGTCATGTTGTTTAAATAGGAAAGGAAAGAAACCAGGGACGAAACTTCGAAACTTTAACTTATTGGCGACTACTTGTTAATGTCAGTCGGTGTTTATTTCAAACACACCACGCGAATTGTGCGAACTTTTACTAATTTTTATTTATTTGTTTATTGAAAACCCACGCCAATGTGCGAACGTTTACTCATTGTTGTTTGCTTATTTCAAACCCATGCGCAAGGTGCGAAATTTTATTTATTGTTGCTTATTTCAAAGCCACGCACAATGCGCGAACTTTTACTAATTCGCACAATGTTCAAAACGAAACTAGTTTAGCATCTAGCTAACAAAATATTAAATTTCGCTTTTCTTTTATAGGTACAAGGGCTTGGACTCCAGAATGCCTACAGAAATGACCGCAGCACCCACCAGCTAATAAAGCAACTGATGGCTTTATCGTACCTCCCTACTGACAAGATCGAACGCAGATTCCGTCGACTCCAGCAGCAAGCAACTGTCAGACCCTTGCAGGATTTCTGCAGTTACATAGATGAAAACTGGATAATCAGTCAGACCTTCCCGCCACAGAACTGGAGCGTGTTCCTAGAAGCGGTCAGAACGAATAACGACCTAGAGGGTTGGCACAATGAACTGAACCGGCGCGCCAAAGGACGATCACAGCTGCCCCTGTACATCCTTATCCAGGTACTTCACCGGGAAGCTACACTGGTCAGCATGCAGATCCGTCTGGTTTCAGACAAAAAGCTGAAGAGACATCAGCGGTCAAGCTACCGGACCATGCAGAGAAGACTCTTCGACCTCTGGAGTCAATACGAAGACGGCCTAAGGAATTCAAAGGAGCTTCTGGAGGCCTGTGCTCACCTCGTACAACCCATGTAATTTCACTCATAAAAGTCAATGACCAACAGATGAACGTAACTTCTCCTTTACATAAATTAAGACTGAGGGCTAATCGTCCAGGGACTGGGGGCTAATTGTCCAAAGACTGGGGGCTAATCGTCTGGGGCTAATTGTCCAGGGGGCGAGTTGTCTGACATTCCTGATAGCTTCTCCTTTAATAAAGCCTTTCTTAACACCTGGCGGGTGGCAAGATGAATAGTGTGTATATTGAAAGGTCTCGGTCGGTTTGTAGTGAGTTTTGGAATCTTTCACCTTTGTAGACAACCGTGTCTAAGAATGTGATTTCAGTCTCTGAGATTTCAGCCGTGAACTTTATAGTTGGATGGAACGTGTTAGCTTGATCTATGAATAGATCAATATCTTGTTTACGAACATCCCACAGGGAGAAAATGTCGTCAATGTAACGCTTCCATACTCTCGGCTTGATACTGCTTTGGTGAAGCAGTTTTGTTTCAATTTCTGCCATAAAGAGATTGGCGAAAGCAACCGCCATTCGTGTTTCCATGGCAGTTCCAAAACATTGGAGATAGTTTACTCCGTTGAACTAGAACGAATTTTCTTTCAGTATAAGCCCGAGCATTTGTTTTAAGTAGTGGGTCGGAATGGGAGGGCTGTTATTGTGGTATTTTTCGTATGCTTGGCATACTATTGTGATACCCTCTTCTTCTGCAGAAGGGGGTCACAGAGTCTACGTGGGAATTCGCGACCCGTGTTTCCAAAGGGCTTTCCTAAATATGAAATACTTTTAAATATTTCAATACTTTTACGCCCGGTGCATTGCGTAAGTTTTGGCAAAATTGCGGCCAAAGATCAAGTCTCTACAAGGCCCACACCGAATTGATAAAAGCAAAAAAATCAGCTAATTTAAAAGAAACTGCCTACCATTTTTCGGAAACCTCTTGTGATTTAAATCCTTTGAGTGCAAGGCCTTCGGCTAAACTTCAAAATGACACTTCAGAATACCCCGCAACTCATTTACATGTCATTGAATAAGAATAGCGTCTATTGTGTTATGCCTCGATCTTCAGAGCCTCCCGACACATGTAAGTGAGGCGGACCAAAGTGGCGGGGTATTCTGAAGTTTAGCCAGTCAATCTCCAATTTAATTAAAGACGAATGATTAGTCGCCGCCACATTACGCATTCTAGTGTCGTAATAAAATATTGTCATCCTTTTTGCGGGCTTTCGCAATATTCGCGGGTTTCGGGTTTCATAATCTCCCCGCTGACTAAAATTACCGTGTACTCTTACCCTTGACGATATGGCGTTGCCCCCTGTAACGTTGTGGCTTTGTATAGCAACAAACGTGTCTTGTAAACATAAACAAACGATACTTTTAATCCATAAGTCGGTTCACTGAAGACTCGAGTACAAGATCGCGAGCACATGTAAAATCTGGCATCCTATTGGATAACAACTATCACGTGACGTTACACTCCCGACGATATAGCGTCACACGGAAGAACGTATGAAGGTTTATGGTGTGTGCACAATCTACATGCTACTAAAGAGCTGCACACGGAGAGCTTAAATCGAGGGAAACGTGTTCTATTCATCGTTTATGGTAAGTATCAACTTATGCCTCGAACAGAGTTATTCCCGTGAATAAAGGGGTAAGTTTCTAAAGAAACTGTGGTGCTGCGTCGGTGGGAGAGTATAGCAGGTAATTTAGTGTTAACAACTGGGTTGAAAAAGTAAATTAGCCACGGTAAAGGGTAAAAAAGCTGACGTTTCGAGCGTTAGCCCTTCGTCAGAGCGATAGGGGCTAACGCTTTTCAACCCAGTTGTTAACACTAAATTACCTGCCAGAGTTATTCCCGGTTCGAAGCTTCCTGAAAACCACGCGTAATTGAGGATCTAATTCATGTGCTAAGATGCCAACACCTTTTACATGTTGTCAGGAAAAATCCCGTCAGAGGTGAAAAGTACCGTAACTCAGCCAAACGACAATTCAAAATGGGTGTAACAAAGCCCAAAATTAATACGTGATACTTGAATTTTAGTGAGATTTGAAGTTCCCTTTTAACAGTAATTGAGATATTTGAAATACTGGTTACATGATCTGTGAATGTATGCGTGCGTGAAGTGAAACCTTTGTCACCCTCCTTAGATCTAGGGGTGGATAGGCTTAAATTTGCAGAGGCTTTTGAGTGTGTTATCATTTTATGTTTTTGAAACCCATTGACAGTCATGGTTCATTTTCATCTTTACCATGTTTATATCTCATTTTATTTGCCATTGCATTGCATTGTTTTAAAGTACCTTATTTTGGCAAGACAGTATTTCTTGGGGTTTAATTTTCGCCATTTTGAAAGAAGGAATTAAATTTCACAATTTTTAGTATTTTTAACTTCATATTATTTTTCAAAAATTCTGAACTTTTTAAAATTCCTAGAGAATGTGAAACAACAATTAGCTTTAACTCTCTACTCCCAAGATCTGATTGTTAATTCTCCCCTGTAGCTGCTACACATTTCCTTGAAAATTAGTTATGAAAACTTGGTGCTAGATCAAGATAGCAGATTCTACCTGATAAGTTTGAATATTCTCATTACCTGTTTGCTGCAGAACGTATGGATATTGTAGGGAGAAGTTTTATGTTAATCACCTCTGGGAGTTAAAGGGTTAAACAATACTTAAGAAACAATTATTTGCCTGTCGGTGAATGTTGATGAACAATCCCCTTCATCTAAGAACTTATTAACCCAGTGTACACTTTGCCTTTGATGAGTAATAGTTAGATATAGATAGAATTAGTAGATTTTGTTTCTGCATGAGTACATAATTCATATGAACAGTTTCAACAAATATTATAGGATTATTTTGAATATACAGGAAGGTCCCTTGGAATTATTACTCTAGATAATTGGCAAGAAGCAGACAAACCTTTTAACAAACTTAAATGGTTAAGTTGGTTGCTTTACCGTTCCAATGTTCAAACAATCTTTGATTGCATTCAAATCACTTTGAAAAGCAGGAATGAATCCTAATGTGAAAGAGAAAAGGGGTTTATTTCTATTGTCATCTGTATTTGCATTTTAATTTTTATTATTCATGTAAGCAGTGTGTGCACATTAAGGGTGAATGCATCACCCCAACAGGTGATTAAATAATAGAAACTGATAAAATGAAAAGGAGAGAACTTAATTTCTCCTCTTGGAGTTAATCATTGTTGCCACAGTTCAGGAAAATTCACCTTGAATAAGGAAAATTTAGATCTTTGAAATAAGTCAGTTAAAAGTGAAATCCCAGCAAAGATGAACTTATTTAATATCTTATTTTGGCCTCTAGGCCTCTTCATATTTGAATAACAATGAACTAATTATCACTGATCACTAATTTGGCTTTTGCAGTGAGAGATTTGATTCAAGTTTGAGTAGTTTGCTTTTTCAAGGGGCAATTTGTAATTGGCATGATGAATTTTAAAAATTCGTGATTGATTTTGTTCTTTCCAGGAATGTTTGTATTTCACAAGACATAATTTGCATTTGTTGTTTTGAAGTTAATTTTTTTTCAGGATATTAGTGAGCCACCTTGAATTGCAATTGATTTTCACAGTTCACAAGAGAAATGTTAAAAACTTAGTTAGTGCATGGTAGGTGATGTGAGCTTGGTTTCACTTGTAGTCATTTTCTTTCTATGGTTGGTATGGCCATAATTTTCGCTACTGAACCACTGGCTCCTCCTGTAGTCAAAGCGGTATTAAGCAGTTACCCATAGGGAATGGTGGGGTAACTGCTGAATACAGGTTTCAAAAAAGAGGGGTAATATAAAACATGATAAAAAAATGCCATCTCTTGCCATGGTTGACCACTTAGTGCACAAACACCAGCTCAAAAATACTACTAGTAATTGCTTAGGGTTAACATTAATTTTGGAAGAGAAACATGGATTGAATTTTACTTCTAGAGATTATTCTTATAGTTTCATTTGAGTGGGTCTGCTTTAAGTGACCATCAATGCAAGTGGAAGACAATGCAACCAGGCTGTTGGGATTCAGTAAAGGGTCACTATGACACCTTAATAGAGGTGATCACTTAATACAGGTGAAAATCACAGTGACAAGGAGGAAACAAATTTGCAACTTTGACAACCAATCTCTTAATACAGGGTATTGGCTTAATACTGTTCCACTTAATACAGGTGTAACTGTGCATCTGTTTAAACAGATGACTTTCATTTTACAATTAAAAACAATACCAGTTGAAAAACATGATCATCATTGAGCCTGATTTTAAATTTATATATTTTACTTCCCTTACAGCATTGAATCATGTCACCTTTAGAGTAGAGATTAAGCAGTAACATTTCAATACTTCACCTGCAACAAACATAGAGTAACTTTCAGGCAATGGTACCATTTAACATCAAACTTCGTGAAACTAGAAGCTTTATTTACATATAATGTATTGCTTCTTATATTAACTCTATGGAACGAGACAAAAAATGATGATTGCATGGAAAAATTAGAAATCTTTATTACCTAATCATTATTAGAGGGTGGTGTTCCATGTTGTAAACTTGATGTTTAATGCAGTTCCCTATTTGGAAAGCTTTTAAGGTAATAGAACCAATCTGCATACACATAATATTATATATGAGTATAGACAAAAAAAAAATTCAATTGTCACTGTAAATATGTTACTCAGCAAGTTTCAATCTGATATCATGATTGGTGGTCAAAGCTGCAGAACAGTGGGAATTTACTCAAAATATTTTAGCACCAAATGAACATTTAATTTTCCCTAACTCTCATTCAATTTTTTTGAAAAACCTGGGAGTGTTTTCTTGTTGTTCTGAATACTCCGTGGTAAGAGTTTCAACAAATTTGTTGAGTTTTAGCTATCTTTTCCCCACCATGCCTAAGATGTTAGAAGGCAGGTGATGCACTGACCCAAAAATATATTCTTTCTGTCTGTTGTCTTTCCACTTGAAGTTCATTCATCAATTTTTTTTAAATCCATCTCCACCAAAAGTGTGGACTGCAAAGCAATTCAAAATCCAAGAGAGCTTGAAGCAGGGAAAAAAGTACATTGTACAGGGGAGGGACAAGAAGGGAACATCAAGTGAGCTTATGATGGTCAATAGAAAGCATCAATTTTTGTTTTAATGATATAAGGATCTTGACTATTGTTTCCCTCAATCATGTGTTCATGCAGAATTTGCAAGAGTTGATTTTTTAGCGAAAGAAAAGGCTGTGAAAATGGATCCCTCCAAAGTGGCTTTGTCACACATCCAGTCCCATCTCTTTTATATTCTGGGGGAAGATAGCTTAACTCAACAAAGTCCTCTTGGGAGCATCAAGTATAAAAAGGTGGTTGTTAAATGGAAGTCAAAAAACTTTTCTGGGAACTGGTTTTTACTGAATGATAAGCGGTAATAAACAACAAACCAGCCCCTTTTTGAATGCCAATACATTTTTGGTGTTTGATGGGTTGCAGTTTCAATGTTACCAAAGAGTAGTAATAGGGAAAATCACAGTTTTAAAAAAAGCAAACAAAAAAATTGCACAGTCTGTAGGGTTTGCAGTCTGTAGTCTGCAGTTTGTGTTTTATCATGACTGTCCTCACCCATTTAGTGTTTGTAAACTTTTACAAACTCAGAGAGAAATATCTTCTTTTTTTATATTGTGGTATAAATGTAAAATAAAACAATACCTGAATTTGGTTTTTGAATGATATTATAAATTATCAAACCTTGCATCTGTGTTATCAGCCTCATCCTTTGCCTTCAGTTGATAAATCCAACCTCAGCATTCAATTTGATAATTCATAATATCATTCTCAACCTTATCCAATAATTGCTTAGCACCTGTAAATTGGGGCTAATGTGCGACTCAAGTTTCCTGCCATGTGGTGTCATTTGGAAATGGTGGCATCGATTCTCTACAAAATCACTTTGTTTTATTCATTGTCTATAACATATTGAGAATCAAGTGTGTTAATCAAACTATATCCCCTAGTTAATATTTTTCTGTCCTCTCATCAGCCTTCTGCTTATTAACGTATAGATATTGTGAGGAGAAATTTATATTTTGGTCACTCCTTGGAGTGAAAGGGTTAAAGCTAAATGACCCACAAGTTAGAGGAAGGGGCTTCATTTTCTAGAAAATTTTGCTATTGCAATTGAACCCAGTTTATTTACTGGGTATCTCCTTTACAGCTTGAGAGGTTGGGTCTCCATTCATTGACCCTGGATGTGTCTACCATGAAATAAATAAAACAATTCAACAAATAGATTGGATGTCTGTGTTTCTATTCAAAGATATATCACAAATGACCTCAATGTGCTAAGAATAGATTGAAAAAGTGGCACTCGAGGTGTGGCACAGTAACTGATGTTCTTGCCACATATGAAGGTCTTCTGTGATCTGCTAACTGCACTGAGGTGCAACAACTTGGAGCCTCTTTGTTTTATGTCTTACAGAATCACAATTTTGTTAATGGTGTTATCATCTATGTCTAACTTCCACTAGGTCATTAGTTACACCCAACTGAAATGTGTGTATAATTCAGTTGATTATTTTATTATTATATTGTTTGTCTATATTAATTATTTAATTAGTTGTTGTTACCAGAGGTTTGTGTACCCCCTGTCCACCATATTTAACTTCAAGGTTGTATTATAATGATTGTGACTCAAGACTGTTGCAATTCTTGTGAGCACCCAGTATCCTCAGCCACATTTACAACCACATCAATTGCCAGATATGTCTTCATAGTTAATTAAACTGTATTGAACCTAGTAGTTCATGACTAGAGTGAGGATTAATCATTTTAATCATCAAGGTCATGCTTGAAATATTATTCTTAGTAATATTTATATATTTGTGATGTAATATCCACAGACAGTTCAAATCAAAAGGTTATGGCCACCCCTCGTCCAAGGAAGATATTTCTCTGGTTATTTCCTTTGTTCTTATTGGCTACAATCCTGTCTGTGTACATCTTCAGTGACCATTTAACAGGGTATGTTTTGTGTGACATCATTGGAAAAGTGAAACTTATCCATAGATCTGTACCTCTTTACTTTCTAAGAGAACCTTTAGGCAGCTAGGTTTAGTCACTGAGTGTGCAGTTAAAAAAATGCATTTCTAGATCTCTCCCTTCTAAGTCTGGTCACTTTTACTCCTGTTGGGAATAAGATATCCTTCGTTTAAGAATTATCACTGTTCAAAAAGTTCTTGAAGGGGTGCTTTCAAACATGAAAAACTGACTTGGTAATCTGAGGTAAGGCTTTGCACCAATAGCCTTGATGTAATGGCTGAAATTAGCAGTAAAAGCTCACTTTATTAAGTTTTTGAAACTATTGTGGTAGGTGCTTGTGTGTGTTGCCTGCAGAATGTGGAAATTGTTTTTAGTTTGTGAACTTTTGGGTATTGTTTTGTCATATGTAAATGGAATGAGAGATCTTACTTTTTCCCCACAGATCTAAACATTCTGTTTCATGCAATGCTTACAACTTTGAGTTCCGGAAAAGCCTTGCAGAGGATCTGAGAGAAATCCAACAAAAAGTAAGGAAGTCATTCCTGCATAAAGAAGCACCCTCGCCAAAACTACTTTTACAGTTGGAAGAAATTGTGAAACGGCTTGATCCTGAAGTAGATCTGGCAAGTGTGTTCACTCAGAAGGGTACTGATACTGACAGCTTGGATGTATGTCCAGAGGTATATAATGGGACAAAGTTTGGTTACCCCTTCTATGAAAAGGGTTGGGTATCAATCAGCTGTACCAATGTAAAACCTCTTCGCTCTGTTGTTAGTGTCCTGGTCAACACTATTGCATATCCCAAGCAAGATGAGAACTATATTGAAACCGTTATAAAAGGCATAACAGAGACTTACCCAACAGTTCAGGTTTATTTGGCAACAGGAAGTGTCAATGTAATGAAAGCTGCCCAAAATTATAAAAATGTTGATGTTGTTCTGATTGATAAAGCTCAAGTAGCTAAGGGATGGAACATTCTGGTTGGGAAAGCCTCTACTCCTTATGTGCTGGTTGCACGTGATGTGTTTCACTTCACATGGCTAACACAACTTGAGAGGCAGATTCGTGTTACCAGTCAGACACCATATGTTGAAGTTGCTGGTGGATCATACCGTAACTTCTCTGGTCACTGGAAAGCAGGATGTGTCCAAACTACAATGAAGAACTATGTGTTAAAGTACCAAGAGGGATACTTGCACTCAAAGAATGGGTGTATGTTATGTGACTATCTTCAGGGACCTTTTGTAACCAAAACAAGTCTGTTCAAGCTTGATGAGAAGCTTCCAATTCAAGTTGTGTTTGAAGACTGGTTTTCAAGTATTATTAAAAAAGGTAGCTTAGTCATGTCATGTCCAGATGCTATGTATTTTACAACAGACTACTGGTCATATTCTAAAATAATTGATAGAAATGTGTGGACACCATTGGCTAAAAAGTGGGAACTCAATCAAGTTTTATTGCCGGGAGGGGTAAAGCATTCCTTCTCTTGTGAGGATATAGGTGTTACATGCAAAGCCAAAAGCGAACTTCTCCCTTTGTGTTGCCTTCAAGAGTATGCTTATGCTTTAGCATTTTTTCAGAAATTTGCTGAAGCTCACAATTTCACTTTTGAACTTGATACTGGTTCTGCACTGGGTGGTGTTAAGTTTGAGGGTGTGCTTCCTTATGACCTGGATGGAGATTTTATTATCTCGACATCTGGTTTTGACATCCTTGGGAAAACTGAAACAGTTGATTATTTCCAGAAAAATGGATACACTTTGGCAGATTATGAACCCAAAGGAGGGTACGCTAGACTTTTTTTCAAGAAGTTTTATTTTGAGATATGGAGATGGGGGGATATGTCAAACAAAAGATATCTCCCACCAGAGCTACAGAAACAAGAAACTTTCACAAAAGCCAACATTGGTGGTTATTGGATAGATACAGCATTTAGTCCTGGTTTGTTCTCTAGGAATCGATATGGAAGAGAAATCCTCAAACACTCTCAATCTTGGATCAAGCTGGGCTTATCACACAGCTTTATTGAATACAATCCTGGAGGCTTTGAGCTTTGTAAAAAGCCAGAGCATCATGCATGCATACACAATTTCCCTGCTGACGGCAACATTCCATTTATGGTAAATTAGACATGTGTAATGGTGCACAAAACTCATGAACAGTAAGACTGTAAGATGTCATGTATTATTGCCATTTTAATGTGTCAAGAAAAAATCTGAATGGTTGACTGAGGAGTAGTGGTTGAGCTTAGTTGTGTTAAGTATGTCACAACTTTCCCCTCTAATAGGATAAGACTTTAATTAAAAACAAATGCTAACAGAAAAAAACAACAACAACAACAGCGCAAATCAGTAAGGTCACGAGGAATGTCAGCGTAGAATCTATTGGATCTAGCTATCTAACGACTGGGAACTTATTCTCACGAAAGGGAGGAAAGTTAAAGAATAAAAACGAATGAATAGGTGACAAGACAATCATGATTTTCTTCTTAACAAATTAATAAATCATTCAAACCGTGAACATTTCCTTAGTTACTCTTCGCGTTCTTGAGAGCTGCCGGGCTTTTCGAGGCCAGATTATTGACCCGAATAACTGCACAGAAAACCTTTAAGATGCCATGGCAATTACACCGGTAAACGTGTAGCAACACTATAACCCATGGTTCAAGAGTTCAATTTACTATTAAGTAGAGAACAGCACATTGTTCAGTAACAATGGAGAGCGCACATATCATGTGCAACAAAGTGGTCAAACGTCGGGCATGATGCGCTAGGGGATATTAATTTGGCTGCCCGTGTGTCAATTTCGCGCAAAATTTTAAGGAAGCTCCATAGGGTTTTTTGACCGTTCGAGGTCTGGGTGTGAACATAGCGCAAGCTTCAAGTGTCAGTTTGAAAAACAAACATAGCCGCTCAGTACGAAAACACAAAATTGCAAATAGCGAGGAAACTGCCTTTGTAACCCCTATTTTCCTCGGCAACATTGTGAAAATTTTGAGATAGTTCCCGGAAGCAAATTGAAAAATATTTAAGGCAAAGCCAAATTATCACTGGCGTGCGCCTCTTTCGTGGAGCCTAAGCTTAATAGCGAAAATAAATGGTCTGAACCTTGCTCATCGCCCCTTTGATAGCTTTTAATGATCTATGACACCTTAATTTAAAAAAATAAATAACAATCCCAACACCAGGGTAGTCCCATCAGAACGTAAGGCTCTGCTATCAATAGGAGTCCTAGTGAATAGGATCCTAAAATAAATACAATGCATAATACAAAAATAATTATAAATGGTACTACTAATAATAATAACGGCGGCAAGAATAATATATATGCTATCTAAATATCGAACAATACTATAAAAATCTATATATATATACAATGGTATAAAAATCTATAAATACACACAAAATAAGGATCTAGTCAATATAAAATATTATGGAAAATTCTAATTAATTTGACTATTATAAACAACACATCCATGATAATAAAAAGATTTCTTGGCTGTTTCGTTTCAAACGCGAGGCAAATGAAGTAAATTTCTCTGTCTTGTTCTGGTATTATTAAAATTGAAATATTGCTTAAAAAATTGAGGACAGTTACCAGAAATGCATTTATTAACTAATTTAAAAGTACGTTCGTCTCTTCTCGACTGTAACTCAGGCCATTTAAGATCCATTAAAGCTTTGTCACTATCCGTAGATCTCAAAACAATTTTGAATGCCCTCCTTTGAAAATTATCCAGCAGTCTGGCATTGCCCACTCCACAACAGTTCCATACAGTGTCGCCATAGTCAAAAATTGGATGGATAAATGATAGATATAAAGTGTTGGCAGCATGACAAGTTAAATCTCTTCGTAATCGAGATAGCATACCTAATCTTTTGCCAGCTTTAGATAAAATGTACTGAATGTGGGGAGCCCAAGAAATAGTCTCATCAAATATATTACCAAGATAAGTGAACATGTTTACCCGTTTTAAACTTTGTCCATGAAAAGTAATATCAAAGTATATTAAAGTTCACACGGCAACCAGGTGGACAATCAGACATAGTTTGATGCTACACTGGTTTGCAAATTTAATGAATGTAACCGAAGAAGTTACAATTCATAGACCCAACGTTTCGACACTCCTGTCTAGTGCCTTCATCAGGGGTGATCTAAACGCTGCAACAAGAGGTCCTTTTATATGATCACTAATTAGCGGCCTTTTTTCTGACGAGGTGTAAATAAGCGTCAGGAAGCAGACCGCCATCGTCACGATTTAAAGGAGCGTGGGCGGAGTTAATGTGCCAAGCCTCCAAACAAAGGCGCTGGTGGTAACGCCGATTAGTGGTGATAATTTTAGAATTATCCCACCCATTTGTATGGTTGGTTAGGCATGTGTTCTCCGATAAAGCTGAATTTTCCTTTTTGCAAAGAAAAACCGCTTTTCGGTGCTCTTTTAACCGTGTACCAAACTGGCGTTTGGTCTGTCCGATGTATTCGTTGTCACAGTCATTGCAAAGAATAGAATAAATGGCGTCGGTTCGTTGTTCTTTCGTGACAGGATCCTTAGGTTTGGCGAAAATATGCCCCAAAGTCTGAAAAGGTTTTTGTTTTTGTTTTTTCTAGGCACTAGACAGGAGTGTCGAAACGTTGGGTCTATGAATTGTAACTTCTTCGGTTACATTCATTAAATCTGCAAACCAGTGTAGTATCAAACTATGTCTAATATCAAAGTCTTTATGTTTGGACAGTTTAGAATGAGTTCCAAATAGCATGGCTTCAGTTTTGGTGGTATTAAGAAACAAGCTGTTTACTTGAAGCTATTCACCCAATGTATTCAGGTCCTGATTCAGATTGTCTTCGATGACTTTAGAGTTAGATCCGGCACAAAACAGAACGGTATCATCTGCGTATATAAGCACATTACAAATCTTAATGCAGAGGGGCGAATCGTTGATATGAATAACAAAGAGTAGAGGGCCCAATATGGAACCTCGTGGAACACCAGATGTTATGTGTGGAGGATCAGATGAGGCACCACCGACGCCAACAACTTGGATGCGGCTAGACAGATAGTTTTCAAACCAGTTTAGCTCTTTGCCTTTGATTCCAAGAAAGTGCAGTTTCCTAAACAAAATAGAATGATCTATTGTATCGAATGCCTTACGCAAGTCCACAAAAACTGCTCCCGTCATAAAACCCTGATCAATATTTCGCCGGATTGTGACCCAGAAAAGCGAACACAAAAATTTTCTAGAGTAACAATACGCTGGCGCGCGCGCCAACATTAAACAAAGACTACAAGGAGCCTCCTTAAAGGAAAATAACCGCTGTCTCGCAAAATAAGTGAAAGATAATTGAAAAGTTTCTAGAAAGCAGTAAAAGCTGTGAGACCACATGGTCGAGGGTCTCCAAGGGTTCAACCGGTAGCCTTTAAGTATAAAAATTGTCAAATTTTGACTAATAATCGTCAAAAAGTTAACTGTTGGAAAAATTTCTGGTGACAACAATTTAGATGGAATGTTATTAACCGTCAGCCGTAAAAGCCATCACCCCGTTGAAACCCTCTTGGCTCTGAAAGCCTTAAAGCACCTACTCATTACAACACATGCGCAGAAGTTTGACCACTTGGTTGTAACATGTAGTATTAATTTTTTATGATGCAATCTCAGTCATTGCACCTACGCAGCTTTCGGTTTATTGGGTACTCGCTTTCGGTTATCGTTATTGGAAATTCTTCGGGGACTTTTCACCAGTCTGACACCTGAAGAGTCATAGAACACGTCAGTTACTTAACGTTTTCTTTCCTTTTTCGTTCCCTTCACTTTACACTGCAATGCATTTAGAGTCTGATGAGTAGGTTACAGCTTTTAATTTCCTTCCGCACCGTGCATGATGATCATCTGTCATTTTGTGTCACTCTGGGTGAATAATGTAGACAAGCTACATTAATGGGTTGAAATGACCATTGTAGACGGTATAGATTATTAGGCGGGAGATTGGGTTCCGCTCTCTTGTAGGCTCCTTGGCAGCCCGCGGGGGCTCAGTGGGATGTCACGGTACGCTACACCAAAGTTCTCTTGGCAGAGTGTTGCGTGACATCCGAACAGGCATTCTTGTTTCTTAAGACATCATTTATTTTTGGCCATGTGTTTAGAGAGACGATTATGGTGGCAAGTGATTACAGGTGGCCCAGGTGTTAAGAATAGGGCGCTCTACGAGAAAGAAGCTCGAGTAAAATGATACACAGCGGCTCAAGCTCCTAGCGGAGAAACCGTCCCAAGTCTCTCGCAGCCTTACTACTCGAAGCCACGAATAACTCCCAAAACTGTGGTGCGTGCTAGGATACCATTCAAAAAATTTATCTTCACAGTAGCGTTTCCTCATTTTTGGATTAGGTGAACGACCCTGTTTAGCCGGCTTAGCTACTTCTTTTGGATTTGCTGAGAAAGCAGTGGCTATGAAGTAAGTCCTCAACGCGTATAAAACATATGAATCCAAATATTTCTTAAAGAAACCGACCAGAATTTTGACGAAGCAAACATTCACTGACTCGATATAGTTGGGGTTAACTACTTGGGAATACCTGACCATGGCTTTCTGTACCGCATTAATTCGATTTAACGCCGCGGCGTTCGTTACTTTTTTTTTAATTCGAGTGCAGCGTCTTAACGAGGGCGGCGTTTCTTTAAGATCCAATTTTTTTCTTGCAAACGATAGTATGTGTTTAGTGTTTGTCTTAAAAGTCTTTTTAGATCGTTCTCAATTTCACAATTTGCATGTTAATACTACCACAGCGATAGTTTAAGTGAATAGAGCGAATAAAGATCTGATGTCGGATATGCTTTCTCGACATCAGACCTGGTACATACAAAAGGATTTGTGTCTGGTTCATTGAAAATTTAAAACTGCGATCGAAGCATTGATGAATGCGTGCTTTTTGAATCTATTATCCGAATAAACGCCTCATCATGTTGCGGCGTTTATTCGAGGGCGGCGTTTATTAACATTTCTGTACTAAAATGCAGTGTTTATTCGAGGGCGGCGTTTAATCGAATAAATACGATATGCAAATTTACGAATGAGAGAGAAAATGAACCCTCTGATAACTAAGACCATTAATAACTTTGGGAATCTCAACCAGTTGAAGTTCAGAATGACACTGAATTTACAGCTAGTTAGTTTTCTTATTGCGAGTAAAAGCACAGTGATGTCATGATTGGTACTTTAGTGATTACTTAGAGTGTATCAAAGGGGAGGTCCTGATCCTGTTTCACTCACAATTAAAATTTAAAAAAAAAAAAGATTCATGCATCATCAATATAAAAGGGAAAACTTCAAATTTCTCCTCTTGTGTACAAGATTTCTGGGAAATCTGAAATTCACAAGTCATCTCACGCTTATATTAAAGTTCACATGGCAACCAGGTGGACAATCAGACATAGTTTGATGCTACTTTGGTTTACAGATTTAATGAATGTAACCGAAGAAGTTACAATTCATAGACCTAATGTTTCGACACTCCTGTCTAGTGCCTTCATCAGGGGTGATCTAAACGCTGCAACAAGAGGTCCTTTTATATGATCACTAATTAGCGGCCTTTTTTCTGACGAGGTGTAAATGGCTTCAGGAAGCAAACTGCCATCGTCACGATTTAAAGGAGCATGGGCGGAGTTAATATGCCAAGCCTCCAAACAAAGGTGCTGGTGGTAACGCCGATTAGTGGTGATAATTTTAGAATTATCCCACCCAATTGTATGGTTAGTTAGGCATGTGTTCTCTGATAAAGCTGAATATACCTTTTTGCAAAAGAAAACCGCTTTTTGATGCTCTCTTAAACGTGTACCAAACTGACATTTGGTCTTGGTCTGGTCATCTCATGCTTGTTCATAAATATACGAATCACATTCGCCTTCACATAAAATTCATGCATCACATTGTAAATCTGGCCCTGGCTTAATCATGTATAAACCCTTTTACACTCTCTAGACTATGCTGTTTGCATTCTTAAAAGATATTTTTCTTCCCTCCCATAGTACCTAGTATTTCATTTTGCTGGTCTTTGTATGTTTGAGGAGTATTCTATTTTTAGCTTATTTATATCATACAAGAGTTGTGTGTATTTGTGAAAAAAAAAATCAGTTAATTAGTAGTCTTGTAATACTTAACATTGCTTGCTATTTTTCTTCCCTTCCATAACACCCAGTATTTCATTTTGCTGGTCTTTGTATGTTTGAGTAGTATTTCATTTTTAGCTTATTTATATCATACAAGAGCAGGGCGTGAAATTAACTTTTTTTTCTGATAGCCACTTGGCTCCTAACTTCTTCAAAGTGGTAGCCAATTCAAAAAAAGTTGGTCGCCATTTTCAAAGACAAACAAAATCTTTCTTTACGCTGTCAGCGTTCTAGATAGACCCTCCAAAATTAAGTTAGGGAAAGATCTTTAACGTGCTACAAAGTGGACACTAGGATGGATGATATACAACGTTCAGGCTCATCTAAATCCAAGATGGCGTCTAGTTATCAACAACAACAACAACAACAACAAAGACTTTATTTAAACACGATAATTGTTAAAGCGACTACACGCTTGTGGGGTCGTGCGTAAAATGGAATAAAATGAAATGTAGTAAAATACAATAATTAAAGTAGCCTATCAAAATTAGAAGATCTAAAAATATTTAAAATTGGGGTCCTTAAAATTCACTGTCTGTGGAGAAATGGAATTAAAGTTCAAATTTAAAAGTGCCTTTGATTTGTAGGCTAACGAGGAGAGCTGCTTAATGGTTATATTTCTTAAATTTGATTCTTGGAGAAGTGTGTTAAAAACGATAGGTCCTCTTCTGGAAAAACTGTTTTTCATGTAATATGTATTGAATTTTGGTACTTTTATGTTGGCATTACTTCTTAGATTTTTCTTAGTATTCACGTCAACTTCTTCGGTGGTATCTAAGATGGATATAGGTAAAGTCTTCTTATCTATTTTGAACATCAGTTTAGCTAAATTAACTTTATATGTGGTTTCAATAGAAGACCATCGAGCTTTGCTTAGTACGTCAGACTTAGGCATATCCCATGGCCAGTTAAAAATTAATTTTGCCGCTCTACAGTGTAAAGACTCTAATGCAATTAGGCCCTCCTTATTAGTAAGGCCGCCCCAGACGGTGATACCATATATAATTGATGGGTAGATTACTTTAAAGTATAAGTCCAGTAGCATGGGTCTTGGTAAGAACAAGCTGCGCTTCAGCATGTTAAGCTTATTTGCAAAGCTGATCTTTAGTGCTTTGACATGGTAGTCCCAGTTAAGTCTATTATCAATATAGACTCCAAGCAGCCTGGTGTGTTTAACCCATCTTATACAATGATTCATCAGTATTAATGACTGTAGTGGACCAGTGAAGTTTCCTCGATGAATTAGCATGCCTTCGCATTTCTTGGGGTGAGGCAATAGTTGATTTCTTAAGCACCATAGCTCTAGTTCCTTGAGAGCAGCATTTAGTTCGGCAATAACAATGTCTATGGTGTCTCCGATACAGAACAGGGTGGTATCGTCTGCGTACATAAAAACAGTTGTATTTGTTATATTATCAGGTAGATCATTTGTGTAAAGTGCGAACAAGGTTGGACCGAGGACTGATCCCTGAGGAACGCCTGTATTAATGCGAGCAAAATCAGAGGCTGCTCCGTCAATGACTGTGAACTGTCGCCTCCCCTTTAAGTAGCTGTGAAGCCAAGCAGCCAGGTTGCCCTTGATCCCAAAGTCAATCTCGAGTTTATGCAGCAATATTTTATGCGATACACAGTCAAAGGCCTTTTGAAAATCGACAAAAACCACGCCGACAACTTTACTGTTATCAACGGCTTGTCTCCATTGTTCTGTCAGTTTTATAAGCATTAATTCAGTAGAAAAGCCTTTCCTATAAGCCCATTGGTTTTCAGTGACTAAACTGTGCTCGTGGAATGTATGGTTGTTATTTTTTTTCTGAGAGACCGTTGATTCAAGGATCTTGCTGGGTATACTGAGAATAGAAATTGGCCGATAGTTGCTCATGTCGCTCTCATCGTCCTTTTTGTGGATAGGGCTCAGCCTAGCCACTTTCCATTGTTCAAACACGTAGCCAGATCTTAAACTTTCACAATAAATATGGTATAATGGATGGACCAACGCATTCCCGGCAGTTTTTAGAGTTCTAGAAGAAATCTGGTCGGGACCGGTAGCTTTATTCCATTTAAGATCTGATAAATACTTTTCAATTTCGGATTTTGATAAAATAACGTCTTTGATAACAGGAACTGACTTTAATGTTGTGGCAGCGTTGACTTTTGTGAATGAAAAGTTCCTTGTTAGATTAATTCCTATATTAGAAAAGAAAGAATTCATCAGATTTGATTTTTCTTTACTATCGACTGCCAGAGAACCGTCTTCCCTCTTCAAGGGTCCAATAGCCTTTCTGAGTTTTGGTGCAGTGGCATTGCGAAGAAGATTCCAATACTCCGCAGCGGTTTTTATTTCAAGTAGTTGGTTCTTGAAATGTTTAGTTTTCGCCCGACGTACGTCCTTGGTGATTTCATTACGTAATCTTTTGTATTCCTTCCATTTGACCGGATCTTTTGTGCGAGTGGCTACTTTGAATAATTTAAACCGTTTGTTCATCTTTAATCTTATTTCGCTGTTAATCCATGGTGAACAGACGCTGCGAACCTTGACGTCTTTATAAGGGGCATGGACATCACAAACATCGTTGAACAAAAGATTCCAGCCCCAAAGGACGTCGTCTTTGTCTTCGAATATATCCAGTACGTGAAAAGGTATTCGTTCGATATCTTTCTGGAAATCTTGAATGTTACATCTCTTGAAGTTTCTTGAGCGGACAATCTTCGGAGGGGGTCTTTTGGATTTCAACTTCAAAGTGGCGTAAACTAAACTGTGATCAGATATGCCCAATGGCAGCACGCCGCATTGACGAACCATGTTTGCTTTAGTTGTAACAATGAGGTCAATTAGGGACTCCGTTGTGGATGTTATTCTAGTTGGTTGAGAGATAATGTTTTGCATATTGAAGTCTTCAAAGGTCTCTATCAGCTTCTTCGTTTTGCCCAAAGTAGGTATGCCGTCAGGGTCCCTATTTAATAAACAACAGTTAAAATCGCCAAGTATAAAGATGCTGTCAGTTTTAAGCCAAGCTTTTTCGAGGGCTCCACGAAAGCTTTCGAAGAAATTCGTGGACTCTAGCTCAGACCTATAGATTACGGAGAACAGAGTAGTGTTTGTAGGAAATTTAACCTGTATCCAGAGAGCTTCAATGTCTGAGGCTGCCAAATCTCTGCGATGAGTAACGGATAAATGTTCAGCATAATACATGATCACGCCGCCGCCTTTACGTTGAGATCTATCACAACGTATGAATTTAAGACCAGGAATTTGTAGTACATTATCAGGTATTGAGGCGTTTAAATGGCTTTCGCCGATTGCTAGGACATCATCTGCAAATTTTCTGTAGAAGACGAATATCTTCTATTTTATTTCGAAGACTGCATACATTGAGATGCGCGATGCGTAGATCGTTGTGCGAAGTATTCAAAGAGGCGGCAAACCTTTCGAGGTAGTCGTCTTTGTGTTGTACACAATCACCAGTGTTATCTGGAACATTGTTTGATAATCTAGCGTCCAGACAGGGTTGGCAAAACCATTCAAAGTTATCCATCAATTGCATAGCTTTATACTGATTAGGCTTAATGTTCCCGCACTTTATGTGAGTCCATCCATTGCATGAGTCACAGCTAACCGCTCTGTGGTTTGTCGCCACAGTCCTGTTGCAAGTAATACATTTATCGGGACCAGGATTCAAGGAGACGTCTCCGGATACACGTATTCGTATAGCTTGGTAGGAGCTCGAAGAATTAGGATAGTAGTTCAGGCGTCTATTGTAATAACCTCTTACGGTGATAGTTCTGCCAAGATGGCGGATGGACGAGCTAGTTAAGCAAGGATCGTGTAGAAACCTCGTGTTGTAGACCGGCCAGGTAAGTCTGAATTTTGGGCAAAGAACCGGTTTGCTGTTATGAAGGCTTTTCCCATTGGAACGATAGCAAAGTTGAGCAGAAATGAGTAAGAGATATAGTATTGTGGAGCGGGTTATTAAGCAACCATTCGTCATTGCGTGACGCTGGTTATATGTTATATCGATCGAGATGCATGTGCTACGTTTTGGAAACAAACTTAATGAGGAAGTTTGCCGCGGATTTATCTTTGCAAATCTTTTTAATTCACCATATCTCTTGGTAAGGTTATGATGAAACGTTCTAGTCGCCAATTTGGCGACTAACTTTCAGGATTTGGTCGCCAAAGTGAAAAATTTAGGCGCATTGGCGCCTGTATTAGGCGCAATTTCACGCCCTGAAGAGTTGTGTGTATTTGTGAAAAAAAGTTAGTTGATTAGTAATCTTGTAATACCAAACTTTGCTTGTAGTCATGTTTCGTGATTTAGGTCTTTAAAAGTTTTACTGGGTCAACAAAGATGCCAATACCTGGAGCTTATAGTTATACATAGTCCTTAGGAATCATGTTTAGAAATTAATACAAGATGCTGAAATTTCTAACTAAGGGAGAAATTTGCAAGAAATAAAAATAGCATAAAAGGAAGGTCCAGGGCAAAAATGTGGGATGCAGAAACCTCCAAAAAAGAAAAAGAAAATGTGAAATTCAGAGTTCTCTTACAGAAGTTATGCATTGTCACTCCATGGTCAAGGTGCATGAGTGACACGAACAGTCCCTTCTTTTAAGTACACATGCGTGTCTTGCAGCATTACATGGACACATGATGCATGAAATTTTCACAAATGACAGGAATATTGGATGCAAATCCCTTGAAAAAATAGTCTGAAATGTATGAAATTTAAAGAAAAAAAATTAAATTATTTTGAAATGAAAAGGTTTGTCCTAAGTTCAAAGCAAAAACCTTTGTGGTAAGGGCATTACTGACAATAAATGAAAATTGCTGTTTAATTTAAAGGTTACAGTATCTAGTATATACTAATACATGGTTATCTTTGTGTACAATAGGGTAAGACTTGGCACAGTCATGTCTATTTTTCCTCAGTCTTGGGGAGTAATGTTGATAGCATGCCCAATACTCATGTTGGTAATGGTCATGTCCTTATTTGTAATCAGCTCACATTGGATTGAAAGCTACAGGTAGATATATTTGGCTTTTTGTGAATTTGTTATTTAACTAAACCTCTCCTTAACCTTTCCTTGGGCTGATGGCTTCATAAACAGGAAAAAAGTATTTAAATACTAGATCAGAGGTAGTGCTCTCAATAACTGGAATAAAGTGATAATGGAGGCATAAATGGTATGTTACAGCCACAGCATGTAAGCTAAGGCAACAGTGGTAATAACACTTGCTAAGATCTTTACAACTTAAGGTTACTTTCCACCTTCAGTGGCCGAAAAAATTGATTTTTCTTTTATTTGAATAAACTGAATTCAAACTTTTAACAAAATGTTTCCACAAAAATCTTTTCTGAAATCTTTAAAAGCAACTGAATTATTTAGAAAACATATTTTCAAATTAAAGGTAGTAAATCAGGTGGGTGAGTCCCCTGGGGGAACTTTAGCAGCAACCACTCTTTTTGGGGCTCATTTTTCATGTTATTTCTGTATCTTGTCCACATCGCACACTTGACAAAATTTACAGGAGGAAGCCCTTTGCTTATAAAAAAAATCTTTGAAGATTTGCAAAATGTTTGGGATCTGTTTGGTGATTTCCAACACAGTTGATTAAACCCTTTACACTCTAATATTCTCCATACTGTTCTCTATAAATCTCCTAAGGACAAGGAGAATGTGTTTAACAATCAAGAGCTTCTTTAGTGGGTGATCATTTCCTTTTTTCTCATGACCTTAAACTGTGATTCAGGGGTGACACTGTAAGAAGAAATTAGATGCTGTTCACTGTTTAGGGCCCAAGAGTTGATGTGTAGGGAGTAAGGAACAAAGTGGTAATAAACCACAGCTTAATTTCAACTGTTTAAAATCTTTACCATAACCATTATGAACTTGACAATAGACTGTATTTAATACTGTTTCTTTAAAATATGTTTAAGGCATAAATTTTGTCTCTTACAGGCCATGTGAAGAGACCCTCAAGTTACAAGAAAATCTTGTAAATGAACTTAGTGACATTCACCAACAATTGCAGGAATTCCTCCTGTTGAAAAAGGAACCATCGAAAGAATTGGCTGAGCAGTTAGAAGAAGTTATAAAACAGCTTGATAGAAAGGAAGCTGTGGAAAGTGTGGGCAACAATGATACTATTTTGGATGTGTGTCCAGAAGTTTACAAGGGGACAAACTTAAGCTCCCTTGAGAATGTTTGGGTGATGACCAACTGTACCAATGTTAAACCTCTTGATTCTGTTGTAAGTGTTCTGGTCAACACTGTTGCATATCCCAAGCAAGATGAGGGCCATATTGAAACCATTATAAAAGGCATAACAGAGACTTACCCAACAGTTCAGGTCTATTTGGCAACAGGAAGTGACAATGTAATAAAAGCTACCCGAAATTATAAAAATGTTGATGTTGTTTTGATTGATAAAGCTCAAGTAGCTAAGGGATGGAACATTCTGGTAAGGAAAGCCTCTACTCCTTATGTGCTGGTTGCACGTGATGTGTTTCACTTCACATGGCTAACACAACTTGAGAGGCAGATTCGTGTTATCAGTCAGATACCACATGTTGAGGTTGCTGGTGGATCATACCGTAACTTCTCTGGTCACTGGAAAGCAGGATGTGTCCAAACTACGATGAAGAACTACGTCTTAAAGTACCAAGAGGGATACTTGCACTCAAAGAATGAATGCATGTTCTGTGATTATCTTCAGGGACCTTTTGTAACCAAAACAAGTCTGTTCAAGCTTGATGAGATGCTTCCAAATGAAGTTTTGTTTGAAGACTGGTTTTCAAGTATTGTTCAGAAAGGCAGCTTAGTGATGTCATGTCCAGATGCTATGTATTTTACAACAGATTACTGGTCGTATTCCAAGAGAACTGATAGAGATGTTTGGACCCCTTTGGCTAAGAAATGGCATTTAAATAAAGTGCTTCTGCCAGAAGGGATAAAGCATTCCTTCTCTTGTAAAGACATTGAAGTTACTTGCAAACCTGACCATGAACTACTCCCTTTGTGCTGCCTAGAATGGTATGCTGATGCCTTGGCATTTTTTCAGAATTTTACTGAAGCTCACAATCTAACATTTGAACTTGATTGTGGTTCTGCATTGGGTGGTGTCAAGTTCAAAGGCCTTATTGCTTGGGACATAGATGGAGATTTGACTTTCCTTTATACTGGTATGAACATTTTTGGTGAAAATAGAACAATTGATTATTTCCAGAACAATGGGTACAAGTTACTGAGTTTTGAACCACAAGTGCAAGGAGGTAGTGCTGGATATGTGAATGTCCATTTCAATGGGTTTGATATTGAAGTATGGGGAATGGGTGACCTGACAAATAAAAGATATCTCCCCAGTGAACTGCAGAAATATGAAACATATACAAAAGCCAACATTGAAGGTTACTGGATTAATACACCATTTTCTCCTGGTTTGTTCTCAAGAAATCGCTATGGAAGAGAAGTGCTTAAACATTCTCAGTCCTGGCGTAGGACAGCTTCTAAAGACAGTTGGATTAATTATAAGTCTGGTAGGTTTATGCCTTGTGAGAGGTCAAGTGGTTATGGTTGTGTACATGATTTCCCTGCTGATGGTAACATCCCATTTTCAATAACTTAACCACTTTCATTTAATAATGCAGAGTGTTTGACAGATGAGATTTGTCCTGATATTGGACTGTTGGAAGTCTCTAGCCTGAATTAAGGGGAGATCACCATGGAATACAGGAAAGAGTTGTCATATTTTTCACTATTATTATTTATGGGAAATATTTAACCCATTGACACCTGAACCGCCCGTAACCGCCCGTGCCGCGTGGGGGACTTGCGCGAGAGACGCTTTCCCCCCTATCTCCCCTACTAAGCAGAATTTTGTCTCCAAACTTCCTCTGTTGTTAGAGGATCTATAAACCAATCAGAATCCGTTTTTTGCGCAGTTATTTTGATAACTTTAGGGGGTAGTACAGAGGCGTCATTTTATGCGTTCACAAGAAATGATCAACTACAAAGAAATGGCGTACGCGCGGCCGACTTTCAATATTTTCAAGTCGGATTTTCTGTTCCTTTCCCACCACTTTAGACCTTCTGGAACACAGAATGAAAAGTAAAAATGCTATAGAATAATCTGCTCGAAAAATAATGGACATCACGGTCTTAAAGGCGACAAAATAAGCTTTCGAGTCGACAACACTACAATTCTCTAAAGCGATGCGAATTAGGGCCGTAAAGCGAAAACCAAACTATCGGACTTCAAGCGAGGCCTAGAGACATTATGAAGATTCAAAGGCACGGTAAATATCACGTTTGAGTAATGAGATGTCCAAAAAGTATTGTTTAATAGAAGATTTTGTGTTAAAACGTAGAACTTTCAGTATTTTCAACACAACGCTGCGCAATATTCTAGCCGTGAAGTCAAGTAAACATCGATCTAAGCATGATGAATTCTACTTCGTGGGTTTCGCACACGTAAGAAATTCGTACGTTTTTCGGTTCTAACAGAAAATCAAGAACTGTTTTGAATAAAGCTTTCTTCCCGAAACGTTCCTTGGTCAGTTTTGTCTTTCTCCTCATTTATAATTTCCATGTAACATGAGATCTCTCCACACACACTGATGAATTTGCATATTCACTTTGAAATCCGATCCGCATACTTTTTTTGCACACGTGCGCAAAAATTTACTGATTTTTATCTTTTATCTTGATTTTAGAGTAAAAACTTAATATGCATCTATTGCTTTCCTCGTTGATAGTAAGTTATTTAAATGGTCTTCTTTCACGTGAGCTTGTTTTTGGGAAAAAAAGATTTGTCAAACTTTACTGCGCATTGTGTTTACTTTTCCGGTTTCTCCAAAATTTTAACTTTTGGGTAGGCACGTGTTACACGTAGGAGTCAATGGGTTAAACAGCCTTGCCCAGTTCAATTTAAAGCTGGTTTACATGGGGGCCTTTTACAAACAGGTACATGAAAACCAATTAGCTGAGGAGTAAGTCACATGTAGGGGTTTAGTTCACGCAGTTCACAACATTTGTTGCGGAGTTTGTTCTACACGTAGGTTGGTACTCTACATCAGCTTTTTACCTAATATCAGAACCTTTAAGATAGTGGCTTCAGTAATGGCTAGGCACTAGCAAAAACACTGCTTTGCCCTGCTGCTATCCAAGTCTAAAGAAACGATGACTCTTCAGCAACTAAAGTATTTTAGTTTCTGCTCCAAAAAGTTGGAAATTTCATCTCTCTAACCCTTAAACTCTCCTTACAACATCAATACAATATCAAGCAGACAAGTGATGCAAATAAAGAAAAATCAGGGGATTATAAGTTGATCTAAGACCAATTTCTCCAAACTAAAATCACAAGAACTGTATGGTAGACAGTAAGGAGAATTACTGATAGGATCTTGGGAGTTAAAGGGTTAATGAGGAATTTCAAAATAATTCAGGGAAGTACACCTGGGGATCTTTGTTGAAGGTAGGGGAAGGTGGTCAAAGCTGTTTCACCTAGTGTTAATTATAGCCAATAAATTCACTTTTATGTAGAGTAAGTAACTGAGAGAGTGACAATCCATCGCAGCTTCCATAATCTGAAAGAATTATGTAGTTCTAGTCACACTTGGGACAGGTTGTATGCAGCTTGTTTAGTATTTAAGAAGTTATTTTTTTTTCTACAAAAATTGAATTTATTTAATAAAAATTTACAAAAGCAATAGACAGCATGTTTTTTTTTTCATATACTATAGAACACAAGTCATAATTGCAGTTTTAGACCAGCAGGATTAGATGAATAGTTATTCCATGTAAAATTAACATACAACAACCCCACAAAATTGAGTGTTAAGGTACTTAAATTCAGCTGAATTAACCAAAATAACCCAAGTAACTCAGGAATAATAACCTCTGGAACAGGAACATTTTTCTTCGTGAGAGTGTCCTAAATTTAACTTACATTTGAAAAATTCCCGGTAGGGTGAAAGAGCATTAATTTAATTAATTAAATTAATTTTCCACAACTGGCATCACCCACTGGTTTGTCCTCCAAACTACAAATGTATTCAAATTCATCTGAAATGATAAAAGGGGAAATAAAATTTTATGTTAACTTTTCGAGGTTTACAAAACATTTTGGGGAATAATTTGAGTGCAAATGACTTGAGAAGCAGTGAAACAATTAGTGACTTGAGAGTTACTTCATTCATTTGCTATGTTCTTTAAAGGAAAGTGCTTTGAAATTTGTGTGTGGCAAATATGAAAATGAAGAGGATAAGTTTCTTAAAAAAAAACTAAGGCTTGTCGCTGGGGTGTTACAGGATAATTTGGTTTTATAGCAACCGAGTTGATAGTTTAAATTGGCCATTCTGAAGAGTTTTCATAGCTGACATTTAGAGAGTTAAAACTTCCTCATTCACTCCAACAACGACTTAACGCTGGAAATAAAATTAAATTATCTTGCAATGTGAAAATAGATATTTCACTAGTATGACAAAAGAAATAAATATCAAGTTAACCTTGACTTTATCACTCTACTGGGTTCTTTACAAGCATTTTGAATGTGTACTTTTAAAGAAGTTTACTAATAAATGAGTAACTACATCAACTAAGTAATTGCGTCATGTAGGTGTCATGCCAACGGCTAAACATAATTATAAAGTTAAATTTGGTGACTATTTTTTCACAAAAGACAAATTAAACAGACATCAAGTTGTTAACTATCTAATACAGTAGTACAATTTGCATGATTTACCTTCAGTAACAGGTTGAACTGATAGTCGGGCTGAAGTGAAGAGTGCCACTGACTTTAATGGACCATTGGTTGCCTTGTGTTCCTATTAAACACAAAAACAAACCATCAACAAACAAACAGGTTACTCCAAGTGTTGTGTACTTGCAGAAAGCATTTTACCAGTGAGAGCCAATGCTTTGCAGCTTTTGTTCTGATAAAGGGCTATGCTCCAAACATCAGCTTTGAAACTCTTTACAGTGACCCATTTACATCATCAACTTGATTAATGATACTAAATTACCTTTTTATATTCTCCCTCTGACCCAGCACCACAGTTCCTTTAGTACCTGTAATCTATGCCATTTAAATTTAAGAATTTGTTCATGCTTAGCGTGCATATTTCGAGTTATGGATGCACACAGGAAGTTTGGAGAGCTTGAAAAATGTGTAAGAGTAGCTTGAATCACAGCGGAGAGCAACTCTAGCTTTTGAGAGCTCTCCAAACTTCCCAAGTGCATTCATAACTCAATATATACACAGCTAAAAGCATGAGCAAATTCTTTTATAACAGAGCGACAACAAGGATCTGCATGAAGAAGCCTTAATTGTGATAGAGTGCAAAATTCTCACAATGCACAAAAAAAAGGAAATAAATGCCCCTATTAGCTGGTCAAAAACACAGCACATTTTATACTTTGGTTTGAGCGAGAACATTTGATCCAGTTAACCGATAACTGTGAATGAAAAGCTCAAAATTTACAGGGAAAATGGAGAAAATCAAACCCAAATGTCATAAAGTGTCACTAAAAAAAATGCTCACGTCATCTTATTTATGCATGGACGTGCATAAATAAAGATTTTGTTCATAGCAGCTCAATAGGACTTATATAGGGGAAGCATGCGTGCTGTTATAAAATTACTTTATGGATGAGTGAGACAGCTTACTTGATGAAGAGCTTTCAGTTCTTGTAGAGAAATAAAGCGTTTCATCATACGGACAAACTTTACATCCACCTACAAAAAAAACCAGTAAATATCAAAAACACAGTTTGCACCAGAAGAGGTACTCAAAAAAGAGAGGCCTAATTTTCTGATGGTCTGTAAAATTCTCCTTCCAACTTGCCTTCTATTTCTTTTAAAACAAGGAGAATTTAATGTTGTATCAAAAGACATGAAGCTTTGATCATTCTATGCTGCCCTTAATTAAGATACACCTTCAGTCATCACTCCTGCCATAGGATACTTTATAGTCAACCAATCCATTATGAATGCAATACCTTTGTGAAAAAAGATAATACATTCAACCTTTCCTAAGTTTACAAGTCTTCTTTCAAAGTTATTTAATGTTGCCATTGCTACAACTTACCATGAACCATTTGGGGTTCTCTTTCTTAGAATTCCTTAAAAAAAAATAAATAATGAATCACTAAATGTAGATCAACTAGTTAAATATATCAGCAGAACTTGAATGTTTGTTCACATTTCCTCTCTCACTATCCGTGATAACATAGTGAGTTACTGAGATTTGCATATGCACATTTTTTCAAAGGCACCACAAAATGACCTCATGCATGGTAATAAAGGAAGGTGCTGACTATTAATTTTGTTATGATCATCCTCTAGAAGGATTGTGATGGCAGACCTTTGGAATACATACAAAAAAAACTTGTTGGTGAGCCTGCTGGTTCATGTATACAACAAACACCCAGCATACCGATATCAAAAATAGCACAGAGATACAAGTAGAGGACGAGAGGTGGGAATGGAAAGAAAAAAGATTTCATCTCAAATATTTGATCAATAATTTTGAAGCCTGTTATTACTTACGGGTCATAATGAGGATCTGCTTTATCAAATTGTGTATAGTCCACATAACTTTCTTTGACAATCTACAGGTTCAAATGAAAGTATATCAGTTTCTAAATAATGGTTGGAAGATTGACCACACATGACCATAATACACTTTTCTGAAATGGCTTGCTCTGGAAATCTGAAATCTGGATAAGTTTCATTTTGGATCACCTTCCAGTCTTCCCCTAATTTTTTTATACTTCCTTGTCTCATCCCTGAATTCACTAAAATGTACTCAAACAACCATCTCTGAGCAGTTTCATCCAAATCATTTTTTTTTAATGGAGATATATGTTACCTGGCTCCCCCCCCCCCCATTTTTTTGGTAATACAAACATCAAATAAACCAATATCTGCAAGATTTAGAGGACTGTGGAAGAGAGCAAGAGATTCTTCTCGTAGAGGAGGAAGTAAGCTGTAGATTCCTACATACTTTGGGAAGATTTAGTCTGTAAAGTAGGTTGTCAACTATGGGGTTGAAACCCTCTTCAATGTGAGATTTTACCTCCACAATTGCAGCAATGCCAGGGTTTTTACAGTTACTGTGATAAAAGAATGCAAGGTGACCACTCTTCATTTGATCTCGCATAAAATTTCGAGCCTAAAATGAAAGTAGAATACAACCAAAAGAGATAAATTTCAAGTTCATTTGCAAAATTTACCAATCATTAAATAAATGCACCTTAGCAGAGATGAAATCATTTTGCTGAGCATTTTCTCTGGAAAAATTACATTCAACTGATGACTGAGTTGACCCTGAATATTTTGACCATAAAAAGGGACCTTAAATATTTATTAATTTTTAAGAACTTGGTTCCTCTCATCAGGTTTGAGCAAGAAAGGAAGCAAGAACTATTTTACTGTGTAATTTAATTATTACAAATTGATGCTCCTCAAGTAAAATATCTATATCTTTAATTAATCCTTTGAGCCTCATTAGCAACTTGCTTCTAATCTCTCCGTGTAATATTACCTCCACATCACACATTAAGGTAACAAAAATATAGAAAACAATCACTAGAGAAGCTCTTGATTGTTAACCAAATTCTCCTTGTCAGCATCTTAGGAAATGTATAGAGAACAGTATGGAAAATATGCATAGTGATGTTAGGGTGTAAAGGTTCATAATAGATGGGAAAATTTTCATATACCTGGTAATTTCTCACACCATCCCAACAGGCTGTTTGATTGGGTTCTTTCTTTAAGTCCTCAATGCCAAACTAAGATAATATTCAGAGAACACTCCTGATTACCACTCACTGTTATTAACCCTTTAAGTGATTAACAAGTAACTGCACCCTATAATAACTAAAAATTATCCAGCAAACAGGTCATGAGAATATTCAAACTTATCAGGTCAAAGTTGTTACATGTATCTTGATCTGACACCAAATTCTCAAAACTTATTTACAAGGAAATATGTAGCAGCTAAAGGAGAGAATTAACAATCAGATCTTGGGAGTTAAAGGGTTAAGTAAGATTTATATTAAGTGGCTGGATAATACATTAATTGTAAGATCATAAAAAAATTATACATCTCACAAAGATACAGTGTAAGTGAAAGACATTTTCTTGGTTTTAGGCATAGGAGTGTGGATCGTGTGGCATTGATAAAGGGGAACTGGAAAATTAGCTAGAATGATAGGTTTAAAAAATGGTAATTCTACTAACTTGAAGACTGTGGCACACTTGAAGTTATTGAGAACTTTCATCTCCCATAAAATTGAAGGAACTTAAATAATGTGGAATAATGAAATGGATTTGGGTGAAATGAAGTAGTGCTGGTGTAAACAGATTATCAAGGCTGAAAACACTTAAAATGTTAACAAAGGAAAAGAATCACAGCCTCACTTAAATTGTTTTATTATTGTAAATGTTGGCTTTTAGAATAAAGTTGTTGTACCTTTACATCTACTCCTTTCTCAAATCTGCTTTCAGGTTCAGATTTCATAAGCCATCTTGAGTATTGCACTTCCTGAAAAATTCAATGATAGTAAATTTAAAGTTTCAAATTCATCCCTTTTATTTAAGAAAAGTCACCCACAGTCACTGACAAAAATATTGTTGTAACTTCTTTAGTTAAGAATGTCATTTCTGTTTCTTAATCTTTTGAGATATAGCAAGCATTGAAGTAATATGAGTGGGGCCTATTTATACATTATTATATTCAGATTTATTTGTTATTATACTTGGATACAATTTGTTCTAGAAGTGGGAGGGGTTTTTGTACAAACAGAAGAACCCCGCTAACTCAAACTCTGTTAACCTGAACCCCCCCTGTAACTCAAACAAGGTCTGATTTCTTTCCAACCCATTTATTTTCAATCATTTACTATCAGCTAACTCAAACACCCACTAAATCAAACCATCTATTCTGTCCCTTGGGAGTTTGAGTTACCAGGGTTGTACTGTATATCATGACAAAGTTCTTAACCCTTTGGCTTGGAATGATTCATTGATTAATGAACTAAGTAACTTTTACTTCCTTTTGATTTTATTAACCAATTCTATTTAATATTAAAATAGTCTCGTAATAATTTTTCACTTAGATTCATTTATGCATATCTTATAAATTTATCTTGTAACAACAGACTGAGCAATAAGTCCAACAACATGTTACCTACTATGCTTTTTACACAATATCCTGTTTACAGGACACAAAAACTGTTGAGATCAGTAGTAACCGCACACTTACTTTTTTTGGAGTCTTGCTTGGTTTGGCACTCTCCTCTATGGAGAGAGTGCAGTTCATTAATTTATCAATAAACTGCATTTTCAAACAAAATTTAAACAATTCCCACAACATCTGTCATTTAACCTTGCTGGTAAAGTTAGATTCCCTTCCAGTAGTGTAGCAAGCAGCACCTAGAGTGCCATATAATACAAGCAGTCCCTCCTTTTAAGCAGAGTCTGTCATGCATGTCAAAAAAAATTTTTGAAAAAATTTATGTTTTAAGTGCCACAGGGAGCTCTTTTTACCTTTATTCTTTTACTATTATCATTTTTGACATCGCCAAAAAGGAGGGACTGTTTTGTTTAAAGGTGCTAAGACATCCCCCCACCCCCACCCCCACCCACCCCCATCAAGTAATGTGATGTCCTATTATTCCTATTATTATGTAATCAATGCAGCAAGATGAGGGAAATATTAATAACGTTCACTGTTTACGGCCTAGCACTCATTAAACGTTTTGGCTGTATCAAAATACACAAGCTCTTGAAGTCCTCCCTTTTCCTATAGTAAATAGTTCGAAATAGTAATTTCAGTAATTATTATGGCTCTCTGATGATAACACGTGACATACAGGGCGGTATAGTATTCGAAGCATACTAGCATGCAGGTTTCAAGTTCTGTGCAGATAGATAACATAACTTTCTCCTCGACTCCGATTAAGACTTCCGCTCAGGTTGTCGAAACGTCAATCACCACTACCGACAACAGTCCTCTTCAGGACTACACTCACCCAGACGATCAAACTACACTATTACATGTTACCCCCGAGTTCAAACCATTTACTGTATAACTAAATGTCTTACTCTACCTCTTTTTGCAGTTTTTGAATGTTTGTCACTGTCGACCTTCGGCTTCTTCTTAGGAGGCATCTTGAATCCCCTCCTAGCGCGCGCGGTGTCGGCTCTCTAGACTGAGCCCGCATTTCTTTCGTCTATTTCATGTGGTAACGCAATCCAGTGGTTTGCTTAACCGTCACGTCGATTTCTTAAAGAGACCTTGAGCTCTCCAGGGTATTAGCGGGCTTCTGATTTATCCGTACATGCGCACAGTTCTTAGATATGAAAGAAAACGATGGCAATCTCGAGTACCGGGTCATTTTGGCTCCTTGGCAGCGGAGAAGCCAAAATGACCCTGGACTCGAGAGTGACACGATAGTGAAAACACGTAGCTTGGCTACGGTCATGATAAAACTCGTTGTTTGTATTTTGACTCGCCCAACAGGCTCGTCAAAGGTATATTTGTAAAAATACTCAGCTGTACTGACACACCAAAACGTATAATAAGATATATTATTTTATTAGGGTCCCCGATATATATATATATATATATATAACTAAATGCATATATATATATATATATATATTTATATATATATATATATATATAATTGTGGGAAATTGTACCAAATGCTGTAGGAAAGTGCTCAATACACGTGAGTGTAGAGCGAAACACAATTCAAAATGACTAAAATGAAACACGCATGATTCTCTGTTACTCTGAGTTTCATGCTTACGCACTCGTCAGACAGATTTAATGAAAAACATTCTTGTAGGCTAATTTATATATAGAAAAAAAAAGGTAGCTGCTGATTACAATAGGTTTTTGTAATATAATAGGTGAGAAAAAGCGAAAATTACAATGGATGTGGGTGTATTAATGAAGGACAATGGGGCAGTAGGTGTGAATATATTGACGAAAGTCTATTGTAGCAGGGAGGCGTCAGATGTTCTTTAAGTAAAACTTGTTTTCGTGACGCCATTTAGATATAAGTTCGGATCTTTTATTCCGCAAGTTGTTGCTGTTGGACTTAATAATCATGAGTTTTTCGGTCAGGCAAAGGTCGCATCTTTTCGTCGTGTTGTTGTAGGGCCTGGCTCTTGCAATAATGGACCATTTTATGTTGAAGTTTACAGAGTTGTCCTTCAGTTGCCAGATGTATTTGGATAGTTCAGTGCTGTTAGTGTATTTTCTGTGTCGGAATGTAACCTTGTGTTGATTAAATCTTTGTTTAAAAGCTCCTTCGGTCAGTCCAATGTAGTTCTTAGGGGTCGTTTTGCCACATGCAGACTTATTAACCCAGCCAAAAGTGAAATCGGACGTTTAAGCAAACATATACTCGAGAATATCAACACTACTGTCAGACAAAAAAACTGGACTTAACCAATGGAAAAACTCCTACTCAGTGATCAACTTGTTCTCTGATATTCAACACAAGAACCAACACACTTTTGATGTCTTCGACATTGAAAACTTTCATCCATCTATCACCGAAAAGCTATTAACAGACTCTATCTGCTTTTCCAAACAATCCACTACTATATCGGATCTTGACATTAACATTATTATGCACTCAAGGAAATCACTACTTTTCAACAACGGTACGGCCTGGATCAAAAAAAAAGGTCCTTTGATGTTACCATGGGTAGCTACGACGGCGCGGAAGTTTGCGAATTAGTCGGTTTATTTATTCTCTGCGGTTTAGGTAACACCTACGGAAAAGAATGCATTGGTCTGTACAGAGACGACGGACTTGCCGTATTCAAAAACATCTCTGGACCACGAGCCGAAAGAATTAGGAAAGACATTACCAGTCATTTCAAGAACAACGGACTCAATATCACTATACAGACCAACTTGAAAATCGTCAACTATCTCGATGTCACATTTAATCTCAACAATGGAACGTACTGCCCTTACAGAAAGCCTAACAACCAGCCGCTATACATCAATGCAAAGTCAAACCACCCTCCCAACATAATCAAGCAACTACTTGACTCCTTCAGCCGTAGAATATCTGATAACTCCTGCAACGAAGACGAATTCAACAAGGCTATGACGGAATACGAAACTGCCCTCAAATCCAGCGGACATAAAATTTTCTCCTCAGATCAAGACCTGCTCCTTGTCGAAAGCAAAAAGAAAAAAAAAAAAAGAAAAAGAAAAATCATTTTTGTCCATTACCTTGGGCAGTGCAAGTTCTTGATCAAGGCCGATGTCTAAGTGAGGGATAGCAGCAATGCTTGCAAACAGGAGACCAATGAAGAGGGCAATCTTTACAAGCAAATAATGAAAAAAAAAGTCTAAGTCTGACATACATGGTATAAGTCACATTGACAATAGTGCACAATCATCAGTATACAATTAATGTCGCAGTAACAGAAGAAAAGAAACTACAGTACTACTTGTGGATACTGCAGCACCCTCACACACATCAAGCATGTGTAATTACTTACATAACGTGAAGTTATACGCATGCATGTAATCAAATGAATGCATTTCAATTTGGTCTTTGTCATTTGCTACAATTGCAGATGTGTGTGTACTCTTACACATGAATGCCATCACAATGGAAATTGGTGTTTTTTACTAAAAAAAAAAAACAACAACAAAAAATTGGAAATATGTACACATGACAAGATGCCAAAACAGTTTTTCAGAACTACAGAGCATAGTTCATGAAAAAATGGACACATAATAAGTTAGTTGTGCACTGAAGTTCAAAATGGGTTGGATGATTATTTCTAGCACCTTTGATTATTTCAAACACCAAGCTGCCCTAAAGTCAGGGTATTTGGGATCATTGCAGTGGTAACCCACGCTGGTTAAGCAATTGTTCAGGTTGGTTTTGCTATTTTGAAAATATTGAAAGACACTTTGTATGGTACAAGCTTGTATTTGAGAAGCCAAAGGCTGGAAGCAGATATCTTGCAATGTGATGTTTGTGTCTTCATGGTGAACTTTTTCGTTCTGAAGATCTAATACCTAAAAATAGACATAAAAATATTATAAAGACTGTTGAATCCCTTTCTTTTTTTTGATCAATCTCTGAATGTTGAGTATAGCAGTTAAAATATGTTGTTTGCCTTTGCTATAACATCTGCAAACGGTTATCAACACTCGTCAATAGCAGAAATTAGGGACATTTTTCTCCCTCGGTGAATTCGGTCAGTGGTTTCGTCAAGTACTACTACGCATGCACTTTGAGATCAGATTTCATGTTTCATTTCAACATGGCTCGGAGCTTTAGTCGATCACAAGGTTTTAAATACTCTTTCCACCGTAGTTTTTTAAAAACATATTTTAAAGCAAGAAGAAGTGGATCTAAAGTTTATTTTTCGAGAGACTGATTAGCTTGAGAAGATCAAAGAACGAGGTATGAAATGTTCGAACAGTTGATACAAAAATATTATAGTTGACAAAAATTAATGTGATAGTTAAAGGTTTTTTTATTAACAAACAAAATTTATTTTTAACAATTTCAGGACTTTGAGATCGCGTGAAATAGAAGAATTGCCCTCTATGGACCAGCACATGGGAACCTTCAGCTCATTTGAGTGAGCAACTTAGCAGGTACTAGACTAAGTTTGTTTTCAGAAAGTGCTAGAAATAATCATCCGTGCATGCAGCTTGGGTCCACACCAGGCCTGGGTCCACACAAAGCTTATGCTTTCTTTTAATTAACAATCTTAGAGGGCCTTATACAGCAACCCTCCTGTTTCTGTGCAAAGGCTACAGCGTGTGTCAGCCTCGTTTCTGAAAGGCATCCTATCTATCCTTAAGTCGAATGCAATCAAAGTTAACTATTCCTCTGAGTTGAGACAGAGGATCATGATATTGTTAGATATGATTTTAGATGAAGAGATAAAAAAGCACAGAATGGAGTTAGCATGCTCTATGAAAAGGACGATTTTTCTCGCCTAGAGCTTCCTCCATATTGGTGGTATTATTTAAATAATTTTGGAGAAGGAAGAGCAGTTGACTTTCCTATTAAGTTAACCCTTTAACTCCCTGATCAAATTTGTCATTCTCCTTACTGTCAAGTATACAATTCTTGTAATGTTAGTTCAGAGAATTTAGCATTGGATCAACTAATTATCCCCAAATTAATATTTTTCTATATTCTCATCACTTATCTAGTTGATCTTGTGTTGATATTGTAAGGAGAAATTCTATCTTTGTCACTCATGGGAGTTAAAAGGTTAAAAATTGTCCTTACTCATTCAAAAAAGTGTTTCATGTCATGTACTGTTTAAATCAAATTAGTGCCAAATTTTCCAGCTGAGAAAGTTGTGTTATATCTCAACAGAATTGTAACATGCCCTTTTCTCTCTATTGCAGAGCTTTATGGCCTCTTGCCTGTGTTCCAGAAGAAGAACATCCAGAGCAGCACCTTCAAGAGAAACACAACTTAATGTCACATTATGATGTTAAGCCATGATAGCTGATGATAGTTTTAACTTTCATTCACTATCATTTATTATCATGTTTGCATTCAAATGGTTCATGATAATTGACGATAGTTGACAAAATCATGCAAAGAGATGGCATAATTGTAAACAAATATGGCGTGTGCCGAGGTCAGCAATATTGATGGCATTAATAATTTCTGTAAACCAAATTTGATAGCTATTTTAGTCAATTTAACATTTGCCATTTAGGTTTCCACAATATTGCTACACTTTGCCCTTATCAGTTCTAATCTGTCATTTTTGTAATGGCGGGAATTTAGAAATTGTATACATTCAGGGTTTATTCATCCATCAAAGGATCATCTTTTATTTTATTTTGTTTACTCTGGAGTCACCAGGCCTATATGTGCAAAAATCACATCCAGAGGATCAGAGTTCTACTGGTGAGTTCACTTCACTTTGATTTTTGTCTCTTTTTCAAAAAAAAAAAAAAAAGAAAGAAAGAAAAAAAAAAAAACATTTGGCAGTTAAGTGTATTACCAGTGTAACATGTAGTGAGAAACTGTCACTTCTTTGTTTTTGCTTCCATGTTTGATTGTTTCTTTGTCTTTTCTAAAAAATACAGATCATTTTGTCTAGCTTGGGTAACTTGCTTTACAATTTGAGAAAGAGGAGTTATAATGTAATTAAGGGGTTTTTTTTAGTTGGCTTGACTGAGTATTTTATACGGACTGTAATCTCATCATCGTTTTGGCTTTCTTTTGTTTACTTTTTACCTAAATGTTGTCTGTTTGTTTATTGATTTTTCTTGTTTTCCCAAAGGTCATCCTTGGGCCCATGCGTTTTGGCTACCACACATGTCTCATTAAGTGTTCAACCACTGGTTCCTTGCTGTCACACTCCTTCGAAATCCCTCTTTTGTCAAATAGCGCTGGTGGTGTTTCAGAAGAAGAGAAGCCAAAATATGTTGCGTTTCTTCAGTAGATGTAATTCATGAATCCGCCACACCAATCTGATCTATATAATTTTTTCCCAAATCATTTCATCCAGTAATAAAAATAGAACTGCCTGCTGAAGAAACAATTGGAAGGGTTATTAGTCTCACTGGCCACATTCTTCTATTCCAATACTTACAGCTCTGTTGTAGTCTTATATGAGAGGTTAACATCTGTATATAATGTCATATATAGGTAGCAGTTTGTAATGGCGTGAAAATGCACCTGTCTGCTACTGCTGTATTGCAATTCTCAAAGCCCTTTTTGTTCCTTGCCAAAAAAGGGTGAACCCTCTCCTGCCTTGCCTGATTAACCCTTTAACTCCTGTGCATGAGCAAAGGAGAATTTCTCCTTACAATATCAACACAGAATCAAGCTGACAAGTTAGGAGAATAAAGAAGACAACACAATTAGGGAACTACGAGTTGATTCAATACCAAATTCTCCAAATTGATATCATGAGTATTTTATGGCAGACATTAAGGAGAATTACTAATAGGATCTCGGGAGTTAAAGGGTAAAACCCCCTTCCCTTTTGTGCTCCTAATCGAAGCTCTAAGGTGATTCGATATTTTTACGATGTTCTTTTTACTGGCTGTAAAAGGACTCTTAGTTCGGCCAAAGAACTTCCAGCTGTGGCGCCTTTTATGAATGATTAAATTACAGAAGAGTCCTGTAAGTTGTCTGAAGTTGTTAAATTGAATAAAGTCGAAGTCGTTGTCTCTAGTACTGAATATTTCGTACTCTCCTTTATCTCGAATCGTTTCTGTTTATTTTTTTTTTTGGAGTACTCTGAAATTCGCAGTTCTTAAATGCCCTTCCACATTCAGTCACGGGCTTGAACCCTCGACCTCCCGCAAGGCGGTTCGGCGCCCTACAACCCAAACAGGCGGCAGTTTAACGACACACCACATCAGCAAAAAAATAAATAAATAAGGGAAGTTTATGTCATCATGCTGTGCTCTGGATTAATGAAAATTAAAACTTAAAAAAATGTTGTGTGACGCCTAATCCCAACTTGATGTTCCGAAAGTGAAATAGCATAGCCACCAGACCGAATCGTGTATCACGAAATAAACAAATGATGCAAGATTTTCTGTTTCGAGTTCGATGAGCTCATATTCAGCTTCTTCAATACTACTGGTGTCACCAAGAGCACCGTTTTGTTACACTTGCAGGGCAAATCACATTTTCACAGGAGTTAAAGGTGAGGACAGAATTAGTTAATAAGGATCCATTGTAGTGAATGAGATGGGCGAGTATTAACTAGACTACAAAAAAAAATTTGAAATATAAGACGAAAGAATGAAAGAAATATCGATCGTATTTATTCGTCACGAGTTTGGGAGAAAGAATAATATCGACTTCACTCGAGGCTTCAAATCTTTGACCTTCGGATTTTACGATCTGAAAGTTAGACCTTGGAGCCTTGCAGCTCTCGTTAATGCGCCAAAACACGCATTGTTTAAGCTTGTTTATATATGACAGCCGTCCTGCATATTGCTAAGATCTGAAATGTAGTTAAGTGTCATGGCTGAGAATAGATAAAGAAAGAAAGTGAGTTTTGAGCTCTATTGTCGAATGAAAAATATTCATAAATCTTGATCTGCTGGTCTAAAGATTGAATGCTCAAACAGGCTCATATTCTTTCTCTATTATACACTCGTGAAAATAAGTAAAATCGTTCTTTATCGAAGCCGAGAAAAAAAAACATACTCTCCCTTTTTTTATTTAAGGTAGCTTATTTACATACCCATGAGGAATCTATGAAACTACATCATTACTGAGAGAATATCGACTGATATTCTATTGATATTACTTATTCCAGTATCATGTGTGCCGCTTGTCCTATATACACCCTAGTAAATAGCCTCAGTTAATGAATCCGTACGCGACAGAAAAAAACGCTGGGCTCAAAGAGAGAGAGCTAAAGACTCTCATTTCTCTTTCACGGTCCCAACTTACAGAAAACTGATTCAAAAACATTTCATTCACAAAATTCCTGTAAGATACACTGAGGTTTTCTCCACACAGAGATGCATGGAATTTCTAGATAGAAAATATTTCTATAACTTCAGCGGATATTTATTTAAGAAGAGTTCATAAGGTATTCTGAGTTTAATGTAATCAACAGCGTTCTTTGCAAAACGTGAAACGACTTGAATCTGTTCTTCGTTAGTTACGACGAGAAGTCAAGTATCCTTGGAAAAGAGCTTTATTGGAATTTAATAGCGGCATTCTTGAGGTGAGGAAAGGTAGTGAAGTAATGAGTGGCATATTATAATCGAAAGAAGGGAAACATTTTGAAAAAAAGTATACAAGACTACTGTATTATTTATGGAACCTTTTTAAATTTATATCTGCCTCCGGTTATGAACAATGATGTGCCACTTGTTCTCACAAAGTAGATTTCAATGCAATGTTCACCAAAACCAAAATTTAATCGTCCAGAACAGAAAAATTTATCTCATAAACGGAAGAATTTTGATATAACACAAAATCATCTCTTCGTGCGAGAGGCACTCAGTGAATGAATCAGGAAGATGGGTGTCCTTTTAATCTTCTTTGGGACTCAACTGCGTGTGAACAAATCTATCTTGCAAATCAGCATCCTTTTCTTGTAAGGAAGTAACACATTTAATTGTTCCAAAAGTAATCGTATTGGGATGAGATATATAGCATCATTAATTCGACTAGGTGTTTTTTTCTTCACTTTTGACTGTATATATCTCAAGTGCAGAATTGGCGGGAAGAAGAAATAATTTCCCCGTTATTATTTTTGGCTACTTTATGGAGTTGTCACGGCAAAAGAGGAATATGGAATATTGAGAAAATCGTAACACTTTTTTCATGGAACGATGATAAAAAAGAATTTGTCTTACAAGCTGCATTGATTTATATCGCCAATCAGCTGCTGACACGTCACTCGCCTTCCGCGCCACTTTGTCAGGTGGATGAAGGAATATCAAATTCTCATTTTTTAGTATAGTCCACTTTTCTTGTCAGTAAAGGACTATAGTGTTTGTCTAATAAACAAAATAATTCATGGTTGCTTGTAAATATGGAGTTACCCTTCTCGTTGTCACCTCGATATCTCACGAGTGAGCACGGCAAACGAGTAAGATATCGAGGTGACCACTTGAAGAGGAATTTTATGGATACGATATTTAACTCACGGTTTGAAATCATTCTTTTTGATCCAGTTATGGCAGAGAGTGTCCTGCTCTGAGGTGAAAAAGGAATTGCGAGTGTTTTCCACTGTAAGGGGAATAACTGAATTTGAATCGCAGAATGAAAAAATCGTCACGCAGAAACATTTAAACAAACAGTAATAAAGAATAAAAATAAACAAACAATAACTTTCTTGAAGTAGAAAAGGAAGTTTTGATCACGACTCTGGGAATTAAACGAGACTAGTAAATGTTTTAAACTGGTGAATATAAAATATTTCATGTTTTCATCGATGGTATTGTGAAGCAAAGATCGTTCTTGATATTTTCAGGCATGTAGAAATAGCAAAGAGCATCGTTTGGAAAATAGAGAGATTCAGAGGAAGACAGGTACGAATCAATTTTTAAATTCCAATTTATGACAGTTGTTTAGAGCTCATGTTTTTTGAAATGGAAGCGCGTAATCTTATGTTCCTTACGCCTAACAACAATTAGGTTTAATTTCAATCGAATTTTCTTGATTTGCTGCTGTCAGATATGAAATATTTCACTTACATCACGCTAAAAGATTTCATTGGTTTCTCTCATATGATTAATAATGGTAATAGAACCGAGTGGAGTCCAATTCGGTCTGTAATCTTAAGAGTGATTAACAAAATCGGACGACCGCAAAGCGGGATTCCGATTTGTCAATCACACTTTAGTATGATTTTGGGAG